GGGAGGGAGACAAATTCCTACCACTTGTGTGTACTAACTACGTATCACACACAGCTTTGTGGTGTGGGGTTTTTTGTTTGTTTTTTTATGAACCATGAAAGAGTAGTAAGACAGTTTACCTTAATATTACCACTTTTTAAATTAGGTAAACAGAAACTATTATCTGCACTTTTCAAGTGAGTTTTAGGGATATTGCCCAGATCACGCAGATTTGTTGTATGAGAGGTGTAACTGAGAACCCAGCCTCAGTGCTGTGATTTACTTGCCCAGTGTTCTTTTGACTACATATTCTGAGTATGTATTTCAGTCATTGAACTCAGTCACCATTTTCTTTTAAAAGCATGATTTTAACACTATTAGGAGAAAGGGAGTGTTTAGATAAATAGATTTCCAATGTAAGTTTGGATGTCAAGGAGGCAGAACTTGTGAACATAATGGGTGGAGCTCTGAGCATGTAAAAAATCTCATTTTGCTTGTCTAGGGATCTATTGCTGTTGGAGGAGAAGCAGGAGGAAGTGTAGCAGACAGTTTCCCCACCATTCAGCATGTAGTTTTGTTTAAAGAGCCAGTCTAGAAGAAGCAGATTTTTGGTTGAGCACAGTAAACCCAGGTCTGAAAGTCGGAGAAGCATGGCCAGTGTTACACAAGAAACTGTGCTTCAGTCTGACTTTGATGTTTGCCTTTCTTATGCTGTGGGTTAATTTACTCTGTTAATTTGCAGTTTATCTCTCCCCCCCCCCCTCACTTTCCTCTAACTGTAACAAGCCTATTTTGCCTTTTCTGATGGATTTTACAAAGAAGGATTTTTGCTCAGTGTTTGTCATCGTAAATTCTCATTGCTGCTGCTGCCCTCAAAAGGATTGTGTAAATGAGGTGGGTAAGAATTTCCAATAAATACAAAAGGTATATTGTAGCCATTTGGTGATATGTATAGAAAATCTCAGTTAATATATTAAAATTGTTTACTTCAGAATGCTTTTAAAAATATTTCAAGTTTTGTAGTTCAGTTAACTTACACTACATTTTGTATGAACACAAAGGAGGTTTTTCTTAATTCTGAGCAGTAAGGAAAAGTTTTACTTCTTTGAAAGGATAGTTAAATGTCACACATCTGAAATTAAAGCTTTTAAAAAGCAAGTGCTGACAGTTTTTAAGAGCTAGAGGAATGAGCCAGAAAATACTATATTATGACTCACCTATTTTTCTGGCAGATTAGTTGGCAAGCCATAACTATACAGCATTCAGAGAAAAACTCAGAGCCTATAAAGTACGTGTATGTGTTTGTGGTTTTTCATAGTTCAAACAAAGCAACATATTTTATAAACAGTTTTCTTAAATCAATTTTTGACATGTCTTTGGGGAGTCTTTTTTTTTTTTTTACTGCGTTCAAGATTGCACAAAACTGGCCTTTGTATATTTGTTTAAGAATACATAATTTTATAGAGTCGTGAAAGTATCTTAAATGTATGATTGAATGTTCAAGAAGTACTTTTGTTTAATGCAGTAAAACATGCTACTGTCCCATGTAAAAAAAACATGGCACTACTGCCTGAAGAGACACCCTATAATTTACAAAAGTAAGCAAACGTATTTCTAGAGCCAGACAATTGATAGCTCTGCTGAATGAGCAAGAGGGTGTGTGTCTTTAACTTCGTTTTTCTTATGTGTAAAGCGTTAACAGTTTATCTATCTTAATATTCTTTTCTGTTTTGTGTTTTTGAACCTCATTCAGAAGAAGTAACAAAACAGCTTTTCCTGGTCAAAACATGACTAAATAGAATAGGACTGCATGGGGTAAACAAAAGGGGTGATACTTGGAGGATTTTTTAAGCTGTAAGTTTATCATCTTTGCTGAAGTATGTAAGCTAAAAAAAAGATGAAATCTTTTATCATTAAAACATCTTCTCATCATTACTTTGTTCTGTCTTGTGTTTGAAATCATGTTTTAGAATGTAGAACAACTTTTTTTTTATTAAAAAATTACCAGTTATAAAAAATACATTGAGTTCTCTCATCTCTTAAGAACAGGAAGCCTATGAATATAATGAGTATATCAAAAGCTGTGCTTGTTTATTTTAAGCAGCTCTCTATTATATGTCCTATATGGCTTTTCTTTTGGTCACTTTCTGGGTCAGTGAGTTTTCATACTCATTTTTACATTTTGAGGAGGTCATTTTTAATATATAGTTCCTCTGTGTTCTTGATTATTCTCAAATGAATCAGAATACCTATTATAGATATTGAATAATCCTGGCTTCCTGATGGTAAGCCAACTGTAAAATTTCTTCTTACCTTTTTCATTGTCTAAGTGGGTAACTGTAAGCAGCCTAAATCTTTTATTTAATATCAGCTGCTGAACTGGTAAGGTGTCTCCCAGTTTTATTGGCTACCTTGTTACCTGCAACACATTTTTAAAGCCAGAGTGGTGTCTGAAGATGTTGTATGGCATTGGTATGGAGTTTTCTATACCAATCTTGACTGTAGATTCAGAACGTAGCTTAACCTAGTGGGTTCAAGGTGTTACATGATGCACAGCTGATAGTTCTGGTATAATGACCTTGTATTTCATTTGTTTAACTGGTATTTCTGTTTATAAATAGGAAACCCTGTCTGTAAAGTCATGAATATATATATATGTATATGTTTGTATGGGTAGTACTAACAGGAAGATTAATTGTAAGGATAACCAAGGGTGAAAATAGGTTCTCTTTGTATCTTGTTTCTCAAGAGAATTCTTCACTTTCTTTTAACCCTAACTAAGCTTTATTATCTTTGGTGATTTCCTTTGAACTCAAAGGTGGCTTTAGGTCAACAAACTTAATAATTCAAAGAGTTTCACCCTAGTATCACTTTTGATTGTAGCTGCCATAAATATAGGTAAGTTGCCCAGGTTGTATCCCCATTTACTGGACAGGAACCTGAAGCTCAGAACTGCTTCTACAACTTGTCTAATTCACACTGAATTCAATCCTTTCTTTCTTCCAATAGGCCTTTGCTAAATTGAAACAGAAGAGTCTTTTAATACAATCATATATGTGTGCTTTATTAAGTTAATATGTAGAGTTTTACTGCCAAATTTAAGGCCAAATTACATTCCCCTAAAATGTGTCTATGGAAGAAGGAACAGTTTTCTTAAGAGCAGCTGTATTCTCTTGCCACATTCCTTAACATTTGGAATGTCTTTTACATGCAAAGGCCAACTATATATTAATGTTCAGTTTTACCAAAGAACAGTCTTTCAGATAATATTCTGCCAATAATAAATGTTCTACAAACTTAATACACAGTATTTTAGGTTGTTCTTCCCATTATTTTTATAAGAAACATTGTAAAAGTTTGCTTTTATACAGTTTTGTGTGTTTATTTTAGAAAATTAAAAACAAATATAAAAACATATCTCCAGTGTTTCTACCAGAAAACTTTTAGTACATCTTTTTCTCTCTATTAAAATAGTTCCTATTTTCTTAAATATTTGTTTGAAATACCATATCAACTTGCTCAATTATATCAGCCTTTTGCTTCAGCAGCAGCATTTTCTTATTTTCCTTAGAATTATGTGAAGACAAAGATAAGTTGGGAAAACAGCTGGATTTGCAATAAAAGAAGACTGAGTAATACAAATAGTGATCTTTGTAGTCATTACTCAGAAATAAACCTTTTAAATATATTGATTAAATTTAGGGCCAGCCCTATCAAACAGTTCCTTGCTGGGGAAAGTTAGCCCTAGGGGTAGAATCCTCCAAATCAGGACTTTTGAATAATTCAGTGAGAAAGTTGATGAGAATAGTCCCACCCCAACTCTAGTGTTGAAAGACTATATGAGCGTACACACGTCAGAATTCATCAAGCTGTACACTAAGGTTTGTGCATTGCACTATATGTACCTTAATATAAAAAATAAAGGCAAAGCTATATAAAATAATTTTTAGAGCTAACCATCTGATATATTTTTCAACCTGTGAGAGGTTATATGCATTTCTATGATATATTCAATTATCACTAATTGTTTTAATATATCTTGTCACTGAGACTATAGGTGATTAGAATTTTTATAAATTCTAACTTTCCTAGTCCCTTTCCCTGAATTTCTATTCCCTGTGTTTTATGTATTCATAGACTCACAGCGCCACTTGGACAATATAATATATCAGTGTAGCTACTCCAACTCAATCCATGTGTTTACTTAAATGAGGTGGGAATAAATAATGAGGTGTGTTTTTCCACACCACCTCTCAGGGATATTTTGTTACTCTCATATCTTATGTATATTTTCTACACAATGCTGAAATTTTTATTTGCAAAGAATTTACACTTCATGAAGGTTCCAAATCACCGTGATACTGTTTAGTATTACATGTAAATCTGGTTTTGAGTTTTCTTATGAAATTAATTGGAAAGCTTATCTTTCATATGAATCTAGTGTATCACTTTTCATTTTATATTTCAAATGAACAAGAGTTTGCTCTTCAGTTACCATGCCAAACCAATCCATATCCTTAACTCCTGTATTTGTTGAGTTTGTTAAAGAATAGTATAATAAGAGAGTACCTGCCCGACAGAGCTTGTGAATTCATGCCCATACATGGATTCACTGTTCAAATTAGTTAAATGCTGTGTTGATTGATGTGTTAGGGAACAAGGCTGAACAACAGATCTTCTAACCAATTATAATATTTGGCCTTCTTTTTAGTCTTTAACTTCCTTTACCTTAAACACAGAGGATTATGTTGACAACAGCCTAAAATTTTTCCTAACCACCTACAGAGGCCATGGAGGTAAGTGGCCACAGTATCTAACTGTTCCTTGTTGTTTTCTTGTGAGAGCTAAATTGCTACTACCCAACTCTGGTCCTGCAATGGACCAGCTCCTGCAGGCACATCAGGAAAAAGCCAGGATAGTAAGAAGGCTATCTAATAGAACCTTAAGAGGTAATTAAAAATCAAAGTTCAAAGGCCCTGCCTTCATTAATATGTTTCTATTGCTATTTTTCTGGTTTTCAGGGGGTGAAACCAGCCAGTTTTGACAAAGTAGCAATTCCTGAAGTAAAGGAAATTATTGAAGGATGCATACGGCAAAACAAGGATGAAAGGTATGTTGCCCCTTAGGTATTGCTTAAACAAAAACCTGAACCGTAATACGCTCTCAGTAGAACACTCAAGCTAAAATGTATTTAATACTTTACTTATAATTAGTCTCTCCATTTATGTCATGTAATATTTTTAAAGATAGAGTTCTGCCCATTGAAGGTAGTATTCAGATTTTGTATACTAGAATGTTGTGAAAAATGTGGTTGGTAGAGTTTAAGAAAACCAGAACCCCCTTCTGTTCTGTTGCTACTGTATTCAATGAGAACTACTTACTTACAGCATCAGCATGATTTATAAAACCCAGTAGGGTTTAATCTCTGTCCAAGTACCAATCTGTTCCTTAGTTCTTTATCTGTTGAATTCTAAAAGGTGAAATAAAATATTGGCTCTTTAAAATCAACTGAACTATACAGATCTTGATTTGCTGTCATTATGCCAGAATAGAAGAAGAGAAAAACACCAAAATTCCTTTGAGTAAAAAGGTACGACTTTGCCCAAAGCTTAGGAGGAGGTCCAGTTTAGTCATTTGTACCAACAGAAGACTTTTCTCAGAGGAGTGGCAAGTGTCTGATCTGCCATATAGCTGATTCATCACCCGTTAGGCATGGCAGAGGTCCAATGTCTGTTTTTGAAATATAATCTACCTTCACGGTCCTCCCTCCCCCTCCAAAAAAGAAAAAGTAGACCAACCAGTACAAATATAAGTTGTAAATTGAGCATAATCAATCTGAAGAATGTGAGTGATCAGGTATATCAACCAAGTTAAAGAATTCCATATTGTCACTTCTCTAGTCTCATACTCTTTTCATAACTGTTATTTGGAGGAACTTAACATCATGATCTTTAAGGTTTTTTAGTAGAAATTTAGTTTGAGTTTCTATTTTTATATACTGTAGAAGAAGAGTCCTTAATCTGGCTAAGACTTTTTTACTATAAACAAAGGAATGTTTGTTTCCAGTCTTAGAACAAATTACTCTCTCTCTTTTTTGGATGGAACAGTTTACTAGGTTACTGGTATTTTGAGACCATTTATCTTAAGATTGTTCACAATTAAGTTTCTGCTTGCCTAGTACACAAACCGCTGAACAAGGAATTGAGAGAATTTTTGGAGGGTTACTTAAGTAAAGGTTGCTGTAGAAGAAGGTAATCGAAAGATATTTTCACATTTTGATTCCAACATTTACAACTTTTGTAACCATGAGCAAGATTTGCAACCTGTCTAAGCCTCCATTTCCTAGTAGGAAATGATACCTCATTGGATGTTGATCAAGAATCAGATGAGATAATACGTATAAGGAGTATTTTACTAACTATAAATGTTATGTAAATGATGATGTGGTCTTTTGAAGCTAGGATATCTATGTATTGTTTGCTATTATTAGTACACTATTAACTGAGATTAGACTTTTTAAAGTCACTTAGCTGTTATGAGATTGTTCTGATGTTCTATAACTTAAGAGTAAAACTCTGTAATCACTATGCAGATGGAGCAATGTAAAAATGGGTTATAAAATTTCCTGTCTTTCTTTTCATAGTCCTTTTTTCATTATTCCAAGCATAATAAAAATCAGCCACACTTGAGAGTTATGTTTTCAATCTGATGGTGTTTTGTCTTGTTTTTATTTCTTTTCCCTCTCTTCGGTCGGAAGATATTCTATCAAAGATCTTTTGAACCATGCCTTCTTCCAGGAGGAAACAGGGGTACGGGTAGAATTAGCAGAAGAAGATGATGGAGAAAAGATAGCCATTAAATTATGGCTGCGTATTGAGGATATTAAGAAATTAAAGGGAAAATACAAAGACAATGAAGCTATTGAGTTTTCCTTTGACTTGGAGAGAGATGTGCCAGAAGATGTTGCTCAAGAAATGGTAAATTAGTATACTAATAGCCATTTAAAAATTGATGTAAGGGGGATGACAGTGTAGCACAGAGAAGGCAAATAATGATTCTGTGGCATCTTACCACATTGATGGACAGTGACTGCAGTGGGGTAATGGGGGGGACATGATAACGGGTGAATGTAGTAATCACATTGTTTTTTCATGTGAAACCTTCATAATAGTGTAATATCAATAATACCTTAATAAAATAAATAAATAAATATATAAAAATAATAAAAATTGGTGTAGACTTATATACATTAATATTGTTGAACAAAAAAGCAATTTATGAAGCAGTATGTATGGCATATCCCACTGTTACTAAATTGCATTGATTAATGGCCCCCGAAGTTATTTTTATTTGAGGAAAGCATATACAGACATAGATAGGTACAGGGATGGATGGATGCATGGATGGATAGATTCGGGTGGATGGATAGATAGGTAAGTAAGTAGGTAGGTAGGTATGGATGGATGAATAGGTAAGTAAGATTAGGTTGGTAAGTAGGTAGGAAGGTAGATAGAGATCAATCTAGAATGCATTCTGAAGTAATTTTGAAAGTCTAAGGTTGAATGACTCCTAATATATATAAGCCTGTTTAGTTGGATAACAAGTTATGTTTTCTAAATATTGATAAATTAGCCTTTGATCAGTCATCTGGATAAGCCCTATAAATAGGTCACAAATTATTTTTACTTTTAAGGGAGTTTTCAAAATCAGTTACTAGTAGGCAGCCTTTGATGAATCATTTTTTTAAGTATATCTGAAAAGTCACTTTCAAAAAAGAAACACTTCAATTTTAGGCTTGCTGTAGTATCTAAAATAGCTTTTATTATGTGAAGATACTTATAGAATATCTGTACTAGAACTTGTAAGAATCACTCAATAGTAGTTGCCTCTCAGAAGGGTAAGGTATGAAAAAGATAATTATTTTTAATTGTTAGTTTTTATACTGTCTTTGAGTTTTGTTTTTTGTTTTTTTTTTAACCTTAATATATATTTACTACAGTAGTTTTCCCTGGAAAAAGAAGTAAAAGCAACACAGGTTAATATTAGTGTTACATCTGAGCAGGAAATAGAGTGTATAGAATGAGACTTACTTGGTTTAAAAAACTTTAGTTTTAGGTTCTCCACTGTTTTGTTGTATAGAGTGAAGGTACATCCGCCCTATGGGTTCCTACAGAAGTGATGGCATCCACCTTGTAATATATACAAAAGTGGTAGGGAGATACATAACTCAGACCAGTAATTTCACAGTTTGGTTATGACCAGTTCTTAAAAGAGTTCTTTCTTCCCCTTCCTCTCTTCCTTTTTCTCCTGAAAGTGCCTTTTTTTTTTCAATCTTGTTCTAGTAAAGAAAACAGTGATTACATCAGCTCTTTTAATGGATTTTTTTATATTTGGTTTGTTTTCTTTTGATACTCTACTGTTTCCTAACGCACCCTTTCATCCTGTAGGTAGAGTCTGGTTATGTCTGTGAAGGTGATCACAAGACCATGGCAAAAGCCATCAAAGACAGAGTGTCACTAATTAAGAGAAAACGAGAGCAGCGTCAGTTGGTGCGGGAAGAGCAAGAAAAAAGAAAGCAGGAAGAGAAGAGTCTCAAACAGCAGGTAGAACAACAATCAAGTGCTTCCCAGGCAGGAACCAAGCAGCTCCCTGCTGCTAGCACCGGCATGCCCACTGCCTCCACCACTTCAGCTTCAGTTTCTACACAAGTAGAACCTGAAGAACCAGAGGCAGATCAACATCAACAATTACAGTACCAGCAACCTAGTATGTCTGTATTATGTAAGTATTTTTGGACATGCACAGTGTGCTAAGGATACTCATAATTGGCTTTTTTCTTCTTGTTCACTATTGTGTACTGGCCTCTTGGTATTGGCCTTTTGGACTAACAGATTTGAAGTGGTTGCCATCTACCCTTACTTTCTATTCCTATGTCCATGGCTAATAAAATAAAAGGACAGGACAGTGAGGGAATGTGATTCAGATATAAAATAAGTTTACAGATTCTTATATCTTGGAAATTCTAATTTGTAGATTTCTATTTTCCACAGTTACTTAAAATATAATTAATGAAAAATGAATGTTTATCTTCACTACTTATAACTAAATCCATTAATCTCATTCAGCTCTTCTAACAAAGCTTCTTCACTACTTATAACTAAATCCATTAATCTCATTCAGCTCTTTTAACATAAAGACTAGAAACTAATGAGACTGCTAGTTAACTAATCGAACTACCTGCTTAATATAACCCACTGGTCTCCAAAAAGACTTTGGAAGCTGTGTCAAACCTAAGACTGATGAATATTTTCCCTTATTCTTCAAGTAATAAGGTTCTTTGATAGCCAGGAAATTTTTTTAAAAGACATGAAGACATATGGATCCTTCATTTAATATAGAAACCTACTTAGTAAAATAACTAGATTTCATTTTTTAAAAATTTATTTAGTTCAGGTCTATGTAAAGAAAAAACTGATTAACCCCAAAGTCATGAGTTTATGATGGGAAACTATAAAATTCCTTTTTGTGATTCATCTCTGTTGTTTGTGGGTTTTTTTTGCAATTCATTTCTCCTGCAGCTGACGGGACAGTTGACAGTGGTCAAGGATCTTCTGTCTTCACAGAATCTAGAGTGAGCAGCCAACAGACAGTTTCATATGGTTCCCAACATGAACAGGCACATTCTACTGGCACACTCTCAGGGCAAGCACAATCTCAGCCCCATGGGGCATATCCACCCTCAAGTATGGTAAGTAACTGCATAAGGGAGTGGAAGTCTGTGAGAGCCAATAGATAATGCATTCAATTCAAATTCTTTATACTACCCAAGTAACAACAGAAGGCTGAAGTAGGAAATCTAAATGGTGTATTTCTAAAGGAAATAGGTCTATTACAGAGATTGGAGTAGTTCAGGCAAGGTGGGATGTACACATTAATATGTGGAAATTATCTGTATTTCCTATGTGAAAAGACTATACAATCCTTAGACTAACCTGCATTGATTAAAGATAATGCTCTCTTTAGCACTTTAGAGTTGAAACTGTTAAAAACAGCGTAAGTTGGACATAGAAATGGCTTGGGGGTGGGGCATGGAGAGTTTTTTCAAAAACGTACTTATTAAAAGAATTACCAAGTATTTTCTGTAAGATTTCTTATTGTATAAAACACAGGTAAGACCTTCAAACCATTATAGAATGCTGCATGTGAGTACTCTAGAGTGAAGGAATCTTTTATTTGTATGACCATTTGATTTAGTGCTTGTGTTTATTAGTTAATCATCAGTTGCTATGTGTGTTCCTGCCTTAAAGTCTATGTTGGACACAAGTTCCTTCCCCAGTATATGTTCATTTGCTTTTTCCCTTTATTTGGTATTTGTTTTATTACTGATTTATTTTCAGAATCAATTTGTGGAGATTATTTCTTGAAATATCTTATGTGTTTATGTATATATATGTAAAATACACTTATGTACACATTATACCTGTGTTTTACATTAGCCACTCTTGCTTCTCGTGTAGAGACTGTAAGGTAGATCATGAGATAATACCCCTTTTCTCTTGTTCATCCTCCATAAAGTCTTCAGAGGTAAAAAAAATACATCATGTGCCTCAGGAGGGAATTGGAGAGTCATTGGTCACTGTATAGCAGTTGTAGTGAGATCTTTTGGCAGATAGACTTTCTCTCTTTCAGAGAAAGCTTTTAATTTGGATTTTGTGAAACTCTTGCTCTGTATTAAATGAAAATCTCTTGCTGTTAAGAAAACACTTCTGCTTGCCCTGGCCTTTTATCCTATGGCTTGGAATAAAAGACATTTGTTTATTTCAGAGTCTATTCATCAGTCTGGCTTTAGCTAGGTCTCACAGTGAATGGCCACAGAAACACAAAACTACTAATGTACTATTTTAACAGTCTGCTTTTCTGACCTTTAAAATAATAGGTAGGGAAAAAGAACTTTATAAAGACATGAGGACATATTTTTGTGTTCTGACAAATATTTGTCATCATTTCTTGTCAGTTTCTACTCTTGTTCTAAGTGATTTTTTTTTCTGGGTCATCATAACTAGATTTTTTTTTAAACTATTTTTAAACTCTTGGCTTCCCTCATCACAAGGTTATACACATTGGGTCTCTATTTTAGAAAAGGAAATGGAATGATCACTTATGATAATTTTAAATATTTGAGCCACAAACATAGCTATATATTGATGGCCTAACAGCAGGCTGTTAATGACAGTCTTGCTTTTTAATGACAATACTCAGTGGAAGTATCATGAACTTATTAAATGTTGAGGGCTTTTTAAATTATTTTATGATTCTGTTCCTTTCTTATTCCAAAAATAATTTATTGTGGCTTATATAAATATATCGATTATAAGTGGAATAAAAAAATTAGAATAAAGGATAAATAGGGTAGAGAAAAATAGAACCAAGAATGAAACTTAAGTAATCATATGATGATACTTACATACTTGCTCTTTGTGGGCCACAAATTTTGGCCAGAGTATTCTAAGCAGCCAGTTTTGGAAAATAAAACAATTCACAATCTCTAAAAGGAAATAACAGACTTTCTCAGAACAGCCTTACAGTATTAGACGTACAGCTTTGTAGCCATATTTGTTAAGGAGCTTCAATTTTGTAAACCCAAGTTGAATCTCCAATATGCCTGGAAAATTTTTGAAGTTATTTTTTAGATATTCACAATTAGGATATTTTTCTGTTAGCTATTTTAGTAAAAATACAGGATGTTTCCTAGTGAATTACATCTAGAAAGTTAATGCTTTTCATAGTAGAAAATGACTTTTTACCTTTACAAAGACAGACAAGTGTAATAAAACACTGTGAGCCAAAAAGCTTTTTATCTGGTGCCTTCTAAAACAGAATAGAGAAGCCTTTTCTGAGGTTTCCAAAGCTCCTGCAAAGTCATCTAGTCTTAAAATATTCTGCATCTTAAAATGTACACTAACAGAATCCATTCTTATTTAGTCTTCATAAGTTTGTAGAAACTGCAAGTCAATATTCATTGTCTTCCCTGTCCTGCTTTTTCAGTCAGTCATATTCACTCTTGTTCATTGACTCGTAACGATTAATGTTTTTGCAGAATATTTAGGAAGATATTGATCATTATCTTGTGATTATTCATAAAAGAAACAAACCTGTACTTGACCAACAAAGTAGAGAGGATAGTTGTTATCCGCCAGGTGTGCTGTGTGGAATTAATCTCTCCTCAAAAAAATTGGCTTTGTGGAATTGGGGGAGGATGGAACATTTCTTTATGTCTACTATGCCCTGTTACCACTGTACATTTCGTTATTTTGTTTTCAAAGTACTGTGTTTTTCATGTGTGTGTTTGTTTTCTGTTTAGCTTCGTCGTGGCCGTAGCATGTCGGTTTGTGTTCCCCATCTTTCTGCTGTTCCCTATCTGTCCCGCATCTCTCCCAGTGCTCCTTCCACCCCACCACCAGTGCTGTCTGCACCTCTTTCTCCTTCCCTCCTTCGGACTGCCCCTGAGGAAACTTTTGCCGAAAAGCTTTCTAAAGCATTGGAGAGTGTCCTGCCTATGCACTCTGCCTCTCAGCGCAAGCGCCGACGCTCCAGCCTGCCTTCCCTCTTTGTCAGTACTGTATGTAACCATAAACTTCCTGACAAATGAAAATTTATTACCAGTGAATACATCCAGGCATCAACAATTTTAATAAACATGAAAAAATAGGACCCAACTTAGTGATATGTTATTCTTTTAGGATACCAGTTCTTCTGGAGGAAATTTTTTTGTTAGAAGTCTCTAAGGGGGAGAAAAAAGCAAGGAGGTAATGAGAGGGAATGCTTATAAATACCTTTGGCACATGCCAGTGTGTGTGCAGTAAAATGTAGCTTTTATATTCTCCTATTCCCCACTGACATACAAAACCCTTGCATTTTCATATCGTAGTAAAGAATCTGTGTAGTATTTCATTTTAAATTCATTCTTGACTTAATCAAAAGCAAATTTCCTATCAAACATAATCAACACGTTTTCTCCTCACGTTGTTCTAAAGAGACACTAATGAAGCTGGGTGAGTCCATTTTTCCCCCACAGTCCGTGAAGAGTTATTAAAGAGTCAAAGTTGGTTATATTAACTGTTTAAAACAATGTGTCAGCAACCTAAAAAGCCACATAATGTTTCCTCATGGAGGCTTTTTTGTTAGATTAAATAAAGTGGAACCTTGACTCTAATAATACATTAGGTACACATATAGTACCTGTGATTTTCTGTGACCCCTTGTGTTAATAAAAGATCTTTTAAAGTTTGTTTTAAATACTGTGGGACCTTGCTGCTGCTTTTCCAGACAGTAAATATAGTTAATATATTCATTAACTATATTGGCAACCCCAAATTCTTACAATGTTCACCTAGGAGAATGGTTAACTGTATAGTGTTTTATGGCTTGGGATACTTTGTGAATAAACAACAGTAAAATGGATCATTCTCATTTGAAATAGAAGCCCTCTTTTGGCTATTGTGTACAAATAACAGTTGAGCCATTTTGCTAACTTGATAGGGGTCTTCCCTATTGAAAGAATGAAACTGATCTACTTTTCCAAGACAAGAAACCATGAAAATGAACTATTACAGTGTGCAGTGTTTGCACTTGACAACATAGAACTCTCGATTTTAGTCTTAAATCTAGAGCTGCTTCTGTGAACAAAAAATGCTCTTAAATCAAGTTCACTGTTATTTATATTATCCTTTTCACTTAATTCAAACACCAAATTATTCAACTCTTAACTAGGATCAGAAAAGTGGACATTCAGTGATTTAGCATCTGTAACATGCTTCATATAGTAAAATTAATTGCATCTAGTTTGGGATAGATGGGGAAGACATTGCTATCACTAGTCAAATTGCATATATTTTATTGTTCACCAAAAACCTTATCTGATTTCTAGTTAGAAGACATACTAATATTAGTTGTAAGATAATAACACTGAAGCCTCTAACACAGCACAGGATAATAAGAGTATAGGAAGACTTTATTTAGTAGCTTAAATTGAAGTACATTTCTTGTATCATAAAAATCACTAGGCTTATTGTCTTCCCTTAATCTTATTCTTCCTTTATTTTTCTACTAATATAATTTACAAAAAGTCTTAAGAGTAAGCATGATAATTGTGAGTAAAAACAGAATAATCACTTAAAAGCTAAATACTTCCATTTCCTTTGAGAGAGGAAAGTTGTGGAAAAGCAGCTATTACCTAATGCAAAGAGTCCCACAGAGTAATTTTATTGACCCTGGATGTATTTAATGGATTTTTACAATGCACATGATTTTCAAAAACATTGTTATTTCTTTAATTATAAATTTGGTGTAACCGTTTCATACAGTTACACAGAGCTACCCAGTTGTGCATGTCTAATGTAATTTCACATATGAATGTATGAATTACTTGTCTTATTCATGTTGATACAGCCTCAGTCCATGGCGCATCCGTGTGGGGGGACCCCAACATACCCAGAATCACAGATATTTTTCCCAACTATTCATGAACGTCCAGTTTCTTTTTCACCACCTCCCACCTGTCCACCGAAGGTGGCCATTGCCCAGCGGCGTAAGAGCACCTCCTTCTTGGAAGCCCAGACTCGCCACTTCCAACCTGTGCTGAGGACTGTTGGCCAAAATCTTCTTCCACCTGGTGGCAGCCCAACTAACTGGACACCAGAGGCTGTAGTTATGCTGGGCACTACAGCCAGTAGAGTAACTGGAGAGCCATGTGAGATACAGGTCCATCCTATGTTTGAACCAGCTCAAGTTCACAGTGACTATAGACCTGGACGAATACTTACAGAAGAAGCTCACTATTTTATTCCTCAGGAAGCAGTTTATCTAGCTGGGGTACATTACCAGGCCCAGGTGGCAGAACAGTACGAGGGTATTCCGTACCACTCAACAGTCCCGTCAAGTCCTGTGAAACAGATACCTGAACAGAAGCCAGTACAAGGGGGACCTACCTCAAGTTCTGTCTTTGAATTTCCATCTGGACAGGCTTTCTTGGTAGGACACCTTCAGAATTTAACGTTAGATTCTGGACTGAGTCCAGGATCTCCCCTCTCTAGTATGTCTGCACCAATCAGTACAGATGCTACACTTTTGAAATTTCACCCTGTCTTTGTTCCTCATTCTGCACCCGCTGTGTTAACTCACAACAGTGAGAACAGAAGCAATTGTGTGTTTGAGTTTCATGTTCATACTCCAAGCTCCTCTTCAGGAGAAGGAGGAATTTTACCTCAGCGTGTTTATCGAAATCGACAGTTTACAGTGGACTTGAAACAGGAAGAACCGCCTCTTCAATCAGTTGGATTGCATGGCCGCCTGCAGCCTGTGACTGAAGAACAGCAGAATTACTATGCCCCAGAATTGTCCATTTCTGTGGTAGAGCCTATCGGACAGAACTGGCCAATAGGAAGTCCAGAATATTCCAGTGATTCCTCACAAATTACTTCTTCAGACCCCAGTGATTTTCAGTCACCTCCCCCTACAGGGGGAGCAGCTGCACCTTTTGGCTCTGATGTCTCATTACCCTTTATCCGTCTGCCTCAGACAGTGTTACAAGAACCCCCACTTTTCTTCTGTTTTCCCCAAGGAACCACATCTCAGCAGGCTTTATCTGCCTCATTTTCTTCAGGAGGATCTGCACTCCATCCACAGGTTATAGGAAAACTTCCACGATTCTTTTAAACTACCCTGTGTACCATTACATTTAATTTTCTATCCCTCCTTTCCATTATGAGGAATATTGTTTAATTTTATTAAGAGCTTCTTCATTTGGGGGGGATTATAAGCTACTTGTATTTACAACAAAATATGAGAGAAGCTGCCTACTTATAGAGAGAAGCTGCCTACTTATAATATGTGCAAACCCTTGGAAAATACAACAAAAAACCTAGGATTTTAGTCACTTGTGAAGTCAATTCTATCCATATATAGACTATTTTCAACTACTAGTGCAAATGCAAATGTCTATAATGTAAAGTTGACACAGCATTATTTACAAATACCAATGTGAATTTTTTCTTTCTCCCTAGAAACAACCATAACTAGTTTTAAAAAAAGGGTGATTTTTTTCCTGTAAAGTGAAAAGAATGGAAAATAGATAATACTTTTTGTAGCAGTAGTAATGAAAGTGCACAGATTTTCATTAGTGTGGAAAGATCTTAAAAGACAGAAAGAAAACATCTTAGGAATTTGCACAAATGTAGTTGCCTTTAAAATGGCATTGATTAAACAAGTCGCTGTGTATTACATGTCCAAATAAAATGTTAATCCATAAAAATTGACTGATTCTAATTTTTAGCAATTAAGTTACAATCTAATGTGGGGGTGGGGGTTTTTTGGATCATTCATTTTGAGAATTTGTGATGTATGTTGCAAGCTAAGGAACGTTAGCTATCTCAAGGCCTTGATTTTTTCCCTAATATTTGAATTTTGTTTTGTATGTGTATGAGCATATGCACTCTCTTGCAGATACAAAGTAATGGACATAGTAGATTTCAATAAGTAGAGTCAGTATTAACTAGTTCGTATATGCCTTTGATACATTTGTCAAATGTGTAAGTCTTATAAAATCTATATAGGAGTCTTTGCAGCAATACATCCAAGACATCATTTGGATCTTTTAAATATTCCACTCTCCTATAAAAGTGCTGTATGTGCTTCTTCATACTTTTGTCCTATGTTCTTCCCCAGTCAGGGGCATGAACAGCCCTGAAAGTATACATGAAGTATCAGTTACTTAGAATGGTACTAAAAAAAACAAGAAGATCCAGAACCTTGGAAATTATACTGCCTGAACATGCAGTATACTCACATTACTGTACTAGTGATTCTTAATGCACTACCAGCCATTCTTCTTCAAACCCCAGTGCAAAATTCCAAATAACAGGTAGTTGATTTGCAGACATATTGCAGAAGAATAAATATTTACAGTGGTTAGATGCAGTGGGATGTGATGTCATGTCCAAGTCAGCTTCAAAGAAACCCCCCTGAGCTGAAGTGGAACAGCCATGGTGGGCCTTTTCATTTCTTTAAGTTATCTGTATAAAGTTCTCCATTCATTTCTCACTTTCTCGTTTATTTTAGCTTAAACTTCTACTAGATATGGGTCTCTCAGATCCAACACTATTGATGTTCTAGGTTAGTCAGTTCTCTGTTGGGGGGCTCTTCTGTGTAGAGTATGTTTAGTAGCATCTTTGGCCTCTAGTAGTCGCCACCTCCCCCAGTTGTGACAGGCAGAACCACCGCTGGTTGACAGCCATTGGTCTGGGTTCTTGGTAGTTGATGATAATAGATTTTTTACATTTTTGATAAAAGTCACATGGTACTACAAGAAGTAGCAAAAGGAGCCAAGGTATTGTTGAATACTCTTTTTGCTTTAATTGTTCAGGTACATATTTTTTTTCACATTGGTAGTCTTAATATTGTCTGGATTATTATATTTTCAATAAGAGCTTTATTATAAATATTTTGACCAGCTAAAATTATAGCCTGAGCAGCAATGGTAGGTTAGGTTTCAACCATCAGTGGTTTTTGCATGGGATGAGAATATCTCTGATAAACAACCCTTCTCTAACCTTTCTTACAAAAGATGTCCCAGTGTTTTCTCCCATACATGTTCCATCAAGCTCAGGTTTCATTTTGCTCAAGCAAATTCTCAGTAGCTTAAATATTTATTGCAAAAGCCTGAAGTCTTTATACACTTACTTAGGGCATCACTAATTTGTTGCATCCACTTTTTTCCTTCAGGCACAGGGACAGAGCCAGAGTCAGCCATCCTCAAGTAGCTTAACGGGGGTTCCATCTTCCCAACCCATACATTCTCAGCAGGTGAGAACAACATTGCTACATTTTATGAATTAGCAGTAGCCAAAACACTATTTTATGTGTTTTATGAATTAGATTACTGGTATAAATGGTTTGGTAAGTTTTTAAAAGGAAAGTCAAGAGGCATAACCTTTCTTGTTTTCATTGACACTTTACAATGTATTTTTATTAAACATAATTTTTAATAATCTGCTAGACATACATTGAACTTCATTATTATTGGTATAAATTCTGCCTTTTTAAACTGATGATTCTACACATAATTTACTTATATTAATGCTTATCCTTTTATGAGCATTTGCCATTACTTTCATTGTGCTTGACTCTAGTAATACTATACTCTTTTTTTAATTATTTCTAATATGTGGGATGGGTAGCAGATTTTAAGCTAAGAGGCACTGTGAATGAATTTTGTCCTAAGAACAATTATATTGGGAACTTTGCTTTAAACTTCTAATTTGGGGAGTTTGTTCCCAAACGTTCAAGGAACTGAGGATTAATATAATGCTAATATATAGTTCATTTTAGCTAGAACACAAATAAGTGAAGGTATAGATTAAGAAAATTGTTGATTGATTTCAGTTCTTGATGTAAGCATGGTTCTGCATTAATTGGGGTGTGAGAGAGAGGTAATCATATGCCCAAGTATAAGGTGGGGATTTTTTCCTCAGATTTATCCCCTCCCCTTAATAGAGAAGGAAATCACCATGTATTCAAACCTTTATCATACTTTGATATTACAGTGCTCTCTCATTGTCCTTTATTTTGAACAATAACCAAAAAAATTCTAATGTATAAAGTAGAACTTGGCGAGGACAGATATGGTTGTAAGAACCTTAAATAGTATATGTAGTCGGAAATGTTTTTAGATAACATCCGACAGAATTGCCTTTAAAATAAAAGCCAAGAAATTGAATATAGATTTGATTCTTGTTCTTAGGGGCATTTCAGTATTCCAGGTTCTCTATGTCACTGTAAACAGCTTGTTTAAAAATCACTTTTAGGAGTCCATACAGATATTGCATGAATAATAAGCCTATAAGACAAATGCAAAAAAACTTGACTATCATATTACTTAAACAGTTGCTTATCTTCTATAAATTTTACCTCAAGACACAAAAGGAAAGTGTTATGCTACAGAAAACTAGAGCATTTGTAGTGTAGCTCCAGTGAAGATAAAGACACTTGTATATTACATGTGAAGAGTTCGAATGAAAAAGGGGAAGCAATATTTCTAAGTATGTTTATGAAATATACAATCTTATTTGAGTATGTAAATTAATGATTGTTAGATAGTTCAGTGTGAATTACTTAAAGTTTAAATATATTCAAGTTGATCAAAAAGATTTTCTAGTTTTTTAGTTCTTTTTTTCCTGGGAAAATAGGGAAATTGTATTATATTCAGAGGTGTCTTCTATAATTAGATACACGATACACCTTAGTTGCTGAAAATAAATTTCATGTAATTCAGCATTTGTTCCTGATTTTTTTTAAGTTAGAATACATTATCAGAAATTAATAAGATTAACACAAATGTGACTGCTGTCACTATTATATATCAGTATTCTTTTGGTGGTTTTAATTAGTATAATAAGAAAGAAGTATAGAATAAATATCAGAAGAGCAAAATATTATTTGCAGATTATCACCCTAAAAAATCTAGGATGCTCAGTGAGGTGGCTAGATACATAATAAATATACAAATAAAAATAGGTCCTGGGATGCAATGTATATACACATGATGACTGTAGTTTATACTTTTGTATATTTGTATTGTATATTGTATATAGACTATTATATATTTGAAAGTTACTAAGAATAGATCTTAAAAGTCCTCATCAGCAAGAAAAAAATTGTAACTATGTATGATGATAGGTGTTACCTAGACTTACTGTGATGATTTTATAATACATACATATATGTATGTATGTATACCAATAGTTATGTTATATGTCAATTATATCTCCATGTATATGTGCACATGTACAGATACACACTCAAATAGCTTATCTTTATACCAGCAGTAACCAATTAGTTATATGGGCCAGGACATATGTGAAAGGCTGGTGGTTGTAGCATTTCTTAGCAGCAAAAAAAAAATCAAAACAACCAAAACATTCATCATTAGGCTGTTGATGCAATAGGTAAATGAAATGAAAACAGCATGTTGGAGAACAGTATTCACAGAATGAGTATGTTTTTGTTTTTAACAATGAAAAATGTACTTGTGAGTAAATGACCATTTATACATATGAAAATCCATGAAGTGGAGGCACCATCCCAAACTAAAAATGGTTGCTTCTGGAGAAATAGGGTAGAGATATTTTCATTTAACTTTATATTCTTATATATTGGTTAAAATTTTATTATGAAAAGATGTTTTGTTCTAAAATTAAAAACTTTACATCAGTCTTAAAAATCAGCTATAAAGTTCAGCTTTTTGTTAGGCGAAGGGGAGTATTAGTTTATTACAAAATTTAGTATTTGGGTACAATATGCAGCATGCATTATAAGTTCACGTATATTATACTAGAGTGGTTTGCACATGGTTGAGTCCCAAATGTTATTCCCTTTGCTCTACTTTAAGTGATAGCGTCTTTGTTTTCAAAAAAGGAAACCTTATTTTGGCAGTAAGATGAGCAGTCTCTAAAATTTTACATTAGCTAGTAAATGATAAAGCTAAAATTCCCAATTCAAAGTTTTTCTCACCATTTTGTAGCTATAATCAGAACTGTTCTTCAAGCATATTGATTATACAGTTGATAAAAAAAGATTAAAGGAGGAGATTGGATTCATTTTATATAGGACCAAAGTGAGAGCTAATACCAAGAAACAGGGAAAAAACAGGAGGGGGTTTGGAGGAGGGAAGATGTATTTGGATATGGTGTCCAAATGTCTTTGTAAATGACCCACTGCTGGGGCAGGGAGGATGTTGGGTAAAGAACCAATGGTGACTCAAGTTTTTAAATACTGGTTAATTGTTCTTGGTGGTACCAAAAAGAACACCAGAGGAATAAGAGCAATAAATGTAAAGGGGAATTGATGAATTTGGGTTTGTGTATGTCTTGATTACTAATAAACTGTCATCATTTACAGCCACTGAAGACCTTAGGCAAACATACTTCCTTAGAAACATGTTTTAATAACTTGAAATAAAACTGAGTAATTATATTTTATTCTCACAGCAGGGGATACAGCAGACAGCCCCGCCTCAACAGACAGTACAGTATTCACTTCCCCAGACATCAGCCTCCAACGAGGCCCCTACTGCACAGTCAGGGAGCCAGCCTCAAGCTCCACAGGTCTTGCCTCAAGTATCAGCTGGAAAACAGGTAAACTCTTAGTTTCTAAAAGGATACCTAAACATGATTTCCATGTAACTTGTCCTTTCATGTGAACAGGCCTCTACCTTCTCTAGTGCTAAAATAACGAAATTGGTCATTTTCATTGCAAAAATCAAGTGAAAGTTGTTCCTTCAGTGCATATGCATTGATTGATATAAATGGGTACATGCTGATAGTGGTGGTAGTCCAAAAACTTTCAGGTTTATCAATCTAAAATTGGTCTGATAGGTATTAGATATGATGGGTTAAATAGAAGTGCTTTGGTAACTGAACCAATGACATTTCCTAGAATTGTGTCAACCATATTTAATATTCTAGGTTTGCACCTATGCTGTATTTTCATGTAGATTTGTCTGTTATAAAATGCACCGTTGTTTTATGTAGCACTGAATACTGACATACCATTAAATGTATGTTATATCTGAGTTTCATAAATGTTAAAATGCCCAGGAGTTGGGGAGGGATGATTGCATCCTAAAGTCAGTGAAACATGGTAATTATACCTACTTTCATAGGCCTGTGTTAGATTTAAGAGTTGTGGAAGCAGTATGGATAAAATCTGATTCCACTGGGAAAGTACTCATTTGAAATTTGTAACTGTTGTAATAGCAGTCATAGATTTAGTGACCGCAAACGTACCAGTGGGTTACAGTATGTGAACTGTATCTGAGTAAAACTGTAAATAACAACAACCTTGCCTGTAGAAGGTCCTCTTTTATTGTTAAACAATGAAGATTTAGCAAAATTTTCTACAACAAAAGATTTGGCACCATAGCCAATCTATCAGCCTCCTTTTCTGCTCTCCTTTCCCTATTCTTATATGGCATAACTAACACTAATGTACCCAGGGTTGGTTTGGGGTTTTTTCTGTTGTTTTTTAAATTTTCCTTCTTTTTGGCTAATATTTAAATCTTGCTTTTGGCAGCCTTGCTTTTTTTTTTTTTTTTAAGTCTGTGTGTTTTGTTTTTCTTCACCTTCCCAGCTTCCAGTTTCCCAGGCAGCACCAACTATCCAAGGCGAACCTCAGATCCCAGTTGCAACACAACCCTCAGTTGTTCCAGTGCATTCTGGTGCTCATTTCCTCCCTATGGGACAGCCACTCCCTACTTCCTTACATCCTCAGTACCCCATCTCTCAAGTTCCCATATCAACTGCTCATGTGTCTGCAGCTCAGACAGGTTTCTCATCCCTTCCCATCACAATGGCAGCTGGCATTAATCAGCCTCTGCTCACTTTGGCTTCATCTGCTACAGCAACTGTGATCCCAGGGGGACCGACTGTGGTTCCTAGTCAGCTTCCAACCCTCCTGCAGTCTGTGACTCAGCTGCCAAGTCAGGTTCACCCGCAACTCCTGCAGCCAGCAGTTCAGTCCATGGGAATACCTGCTAACCTTGGACAAGCTGCTGAGGTTCCACTTCCCTCTGGAGATATTCTGTACCAGGTATTGTGTCAACTAATGAAAAAGGGCACCAGAAAGTTTGGTTGTAATAAACCATCAAGGACTTGAAAATCTAATAGTTGAATATTAAAATAACTAGCAATAACAGAGATTGCTGATCCCAACTGGAAAAGCTAAAACTAAATAAAATTCTGAGAAAAGATAGGGTGATGATTTGCTTTCATTTTTCTTGGATACCTCTTTGAAGAAAAATGGTCTTAATAAACAGTGAAGGTGATTGAATGATTAGATATGGCTAATAATAGAGTGCGTCAGGCTCCTTTTTTTTTTTTGTAGGTAAACAGAGTAGCCAACATGCTATGAATAAAAAGCTTCAGGGTTTGGATTTAGAAGATGAGTATGTCATGATATGCCTAGAATGATACTTTTGAGTTTTTGCATTCTCCCATTTAAGATTGGCTAAAAAAGGTATTTTTATAGAAGGAATTATGTCTGTTCCTCCTATTTAAATAATCTCCATGAATTTAAAAAAAAAACAATTTAAAGTATAGTTGTAGAGTCCTGTCCCCTAAATTGAAACCAGTCCATCATTTTATTTCAAGAATCATCTTTAAGTTTTTAAATTACTGGAAAGAGAGTGGGTTACTATTCTTCTTTGCTTTGTGCTTGATTTTTTTGGTTTTTCTTTTGCATGTCTTGCTATTTTGCTAATATGATGAGCCGACCTGCACTAACTCACCTTCCTGATTTCTGTCATAGGGCTTCCCACCTCAACTGCCACCACAATACCCAGGAGATTCAAATATTGCTTCCTCTTCCAGTGTGGCTTCTGTTTGCATCCCTTCTACAGTCCTGTCCCCTCCCATGTCAACAGAAGCATTGGCTGCACCAGGTTACTTTCCTACAGTGGTGCAGCCTTATGTGGAATCAAATCTTTTGGTTCCTGTGGGCAGTATAGGAGGACAGATTCAAGTGTCCCAACCAGCTGTGAGTTTAGCACAACAAGCCCCCACCACATCCTCCCAGCAAGCAGCTCTGGAGGTAAATGGAAGTACTGCATGTTTATATAGAAAATATATTTAATGTAATTAAAATGACAAAGGAGAAACATAGGTTCCCCTGATAAAGAACTCATTTGGAGACTATCTCAGACTGATTTCTGCATGACTTTTTCTTACAGCAGAATGAAATGCCAATATGGGGGCCTTGTGGCCACTGGCTGTTTTCTTGGGAAGTGAGTGTGCCTTGAGGAAGAGTAACCCTATTAGCACTTCACTTCCTTAGCTGGCGCTTTGGCCATTATTTTTATCCTCTCACAAATTCTTACATTGGCAGTCATAGGGGTCTCTTAGCCTGCTATACTCCCAGCTGTCATTTTTGCCCTACTAGGAGAAAGATCTGAGTCATCTTTGCACTTTGCTCTACCTGCCCTATTGCACACTTCTGGTAAGATGTTGGCTGCATGTCAAGTTATAGTTTCTCACTCCATAGCAGCTATGTTGGCTGGTGTCCATGCAGTCTATACCAGAGACTAGCTTAGACACTGCCTTTGGAATTTTAAGTGCACTGTCTCTAGATGCTAAATATTAAGAATTACCTTTAAATCAAGGGCTTCTAGAACTTGGGGGTAAGGGTTTGGTGGGGAAGAAAAAAAAAGAGTGGCTTATTGGGGATGGTCAATAATAAATAATATACATTACTGCCAGGATATGCATTACCCTTTCTGTTCGCAGAGTACTCAGGGAGTCTCCCAGGTTGCTCCTGTAGAGCCAGTTCCAACAGCACAGCCACAGCCTACCCAGCCTCAGCCTACCACTCTAGTCTCCTCTATAGACAGGTATGTAAAGTCAGATTCCTTCCTTGACTGGAAGGTCAGAATATCAAATCTTTAAATCTCATATTGTAAACTGAACTTTTTTTTCAAAGTGCACATTCAGATGTTGCTTCAGGTATGAGTGATGGCAATGAGAATGTCCCATCATCCAGTGGAAGGCATGAAGGGAGAACTACAAAACGGCATTATCGAAAATCTGTAAGAAGTCGCTCTCGTCATGAAAAGACTTCACGACCTAAATTGAGAATTTTGAATGTAAGTATTGCTGATTGTGGGTTGCATATAGTTAGTTAGTATCATTTAAATATTTCTAAGTCTCAGGTGTATTGATAAATCGAGTTTAAAGTCTTCTCCTTACCCACATGATATTGTTAAATTCTTTATTTCTGTGATAAGACATTATTTACCTTTTAGAAAAAGAAGAGTTAGTTTGTAGAACAAAGATTTTACATTTTTTCCATATTCTTCAGTGAAAGATGAGTAAGTAACTCAAAGGCTGGTAATCTCTTAAGGCTTTCTTGCTACCAGTTTAAGAGGTAGACTACTAGGGCTTCATAGAATAGTGGTAACGTGAGGCTTAAGTGTTAATCTGCATTACTTTCTCAAATTCAGTAACAAAGCTGAATTTGATCTGAGATATGAAGTGCCTTTTGTTTTTTTCTTTTTAGGTTTCAAATAAAGGAGACCGAGTAGTAGAGTGTCAATTAGAGACTCACAATCGGAAAATGGTTACATTTAAGTTTGATTTAGATGGTGACAACCCCGAGGAGATAGCAACCATTATGGTATGTCTGCATTTGGTGTTACAAACTTTGCCTTAGTCTTGATCTTAATATCCACTGTCCTAGGCAAATACGCAATGTTAAACAAAATAAAATCTATTTTGACAATGGACATAACGGGCACACCAAATCTGTGATTTAGAGGTATTTCTGTCTAGAACATGTCTAACTAGGTACTGAAGAACTTTCATATCAAATAAATAATAATACAGGTAGTGTGCAGATAGGGGAAAAGTCATGAGAGTAGTGCAGATTGTGAGTGACTTAAAGCTTGAGAAACACTGTACTAATCAGACTGATATCACATTTCTTTTACAGGTTAACAATGACTTTATTCTAGCAATAGAAAGAGAGTCATTTGTGGATCAAGTTCGGGAAATTATTGAAAAAGCTGATGAAATGCTCAGTGAGGATGTCAGTGTGGAGCCAGAGGGTGACCAAGGATTGGAGAGTCTACAGGGAAAGGATGACTATGGGTTTTCAGGTTCTCAAGTAGGTTCTCCATTCCCACAGTGGAGCTTTGCTTAATCGAGAATATTTCTGTAGTGCTAAATTTACCATGCAAAATGTCCAGTGATACCACATTATACCTCTGACTGAGATTATCAAACATTTATGTTCTCTTTGCTTGTGGCAGTTGGGCTTGCCTAATGAGTCAAGATTGCATTTGAGAACAGATTTAATCACTTTTGTTTGTTGTAGAAATTGGAAGGAGAGTTCAAACAACCAATTCCTGCATCTTCCATGCCCCAGCAAATAGGTGAATTTCTTTTCTTTCCATGTTTGCTTTTAACTCTGACCTAAGAAGTTGTGAGCTACTAATGAATTCTTAAAGCTTCATTTTGGTGACTGTGTACATACTAGTAATGTGATTAAGTGGATTGTTTCTTTTTACCCAGGTGTTCCTACCAGTTCTTTAACTCAAGTTGTTCATTCTGCTGGAAGACGGTTTATAGTGAGTCCTGTGCCAGAAAGTCGATTACAAGAATCAAAAATTTTTACCAGTGAAATATCTGCTGACACAGGTAAAGAATTGTTTCTGCCACACACTTAGATAAATCCTACAGCATCTCTGCTATGTTGGAAGTGTGGTCATCAAGCTGTAGTTCAGTGATTACACAGACAATAAAGAAGAGTAAAAATTGGAATTATAACCAACAGATAAACGTTTATCTGTATGGAGGAGGGAAATAGATGACGACTAGAGAGGATTAAAGAGAACAAAAAAGGACAGCCATATTATATAACAGCCGCATAAATACAGTAGATGTGTTTGTTTCTCTATTTAGGACTATTGTACATACTTTAAGGTTACTCTGTGTTTCTTCAGAAATAGATACTCATACAAAATAACTTATGTTGATCAAACGACTATTTTATTTTGCTGTTTTAGAGCCTGTTTTTTCTTTGGGAGAGGATTTAAACCCTGTTGGTATATGGTATTATTGGTAATCCAAAAGCAGATTATTAAGACAATCTTTTGAATCCACCCTCTTAAAACAGACTGATTCTGATTTTATATTTTCCTTTGCAGTCGCTGCTTCTACGTCTCATGGCACTGGAGTGAACTTGTCTCACTCTGCTTCATCCCTTAGTCTGCAGCAGGCCTTTTCTGCACTTAGACATGCCCAAATGACAGAAGGACCCAGTACAGCACCTCCCAACTTCAGTCATACAGGACCAACATTTCCAGTAGTACCTCCTTCCATGAGTAGCATTTCTGGAGTGCCAACCACAGCAGCAGCCACGCCTGCTGTATCAGGCCCTGCACCTAGCTGCCCTCTTACTGATACTTCCACCCCAGTAATTCAGTCTGAGCTTACAGTGCCTGCTGGGAAAGGGGTTGCTGGAGTTGCCACATGCACAGGTGTAATAACCTCAAGTGGTCTTCCTGTACCATCTGTGTCTGAATCACCAGGACTTACCAGTGAGGTGTCAGGCACCACAGCAGCTACCACTGTCTCAATATCAACAACATCCCAGCCAGCTCAGGCTCCTGCGCCTGGGAGCATTGTTTCTAGTACAGGCACTTTGACCTCAATACCAGTTTTAATAGCTCCAGCCTCTGCAGGGGGTGGTGGTGCTGCCCCAGGTGCTAAGCCTCCACCTATATTACCTCAGCAGGCAGCAAGCAGTACTTCTGGGATAGCCATGGTGTCTTCGGCATCTACCACCCCCGCCTTCCCAAGCATAGCTTCACAGCCAGCTGTTCATCTTAGCAGCAGCTCCGCTACCCCTACCCCAGCTGAAACGGTGGTGGTTAGTGCACACTCGCTGGATAACACATCCCATAGCAGTGCAGCTGGGTTGGCTTTGTCCCTCTCTGCATCATCTTCCTCTTCTTCCCCTGGAGCAGGAGTATGTAGTTCTGTTTCTGGGCCTGTTGGGGTCCATTCTTTGGTCATTCCATCAGCTGTAGCTTCTATTCCTGTCCTTCCCCAAGCAGCAGGACCTACTCCTACGCCCTTATTACCCCAGGTACCCAGTATCCCACCAGTGGTACAACCTGTTACCAGTGTGCCTGCTGTACAGCAGACACTAATTCATAGTCAGCCTCAGCCAGCCTTGCTTCCCAACCAGCCCCATACTCACTGTCCTGAAATAGATGCTGATATACAGCCCAAAGCTCCTGGCATTGATGACATAAAGACTCTAGAGGAGAAACTGCGGTCTCTCTTCAGTGAACATGGCTCATCTGGAGCTCCACATGCCTCTGTCTCACTGGAGACATCAATGGCAGTAGAGACCGCTCTCCCACCTGGTGTGCCAACCACCGCTGTTGCACCAGGCAAGCTGGTGACTTCCACAGCAAGCACTTGCTCACCACCAGCCAGTCTGCCATTAGGAACAACTGGCTCATCGGTTACACCAGTGGTCACAGCTGGACAAGTTTCCACCCCGGTCAGCACTGCACCAGGAGGGAAAGCAGGAGGGGCTCCATTAAAGCCACCTTTGACCAAGGCTCCAGTAAGCTTTTTGTTTAGAAATAATTTGATATATATGATCACTCTTTTTCCCTCCAATAAGTGCATTTTTTCAAGTCAGCCTTGCAAATTAGAAATGTAGTTACAGAGATGCCTGGCGTATAGTAGATATTCAGAATTTATTAAGTCAATTGATTGAAGGTGATTTTAGGATGCATGTGTACATTAAACATGAGATACTTTTTTCTTTTGAAATATAGCAGAATTTTGGGGGTTGATTATACTGCATGCTTTTTTTAAGAATGTACTATAGTCAGGTAAAATACAGGCATTTTTTCCTAATTACTACAAACTGAAGAAATCTATATCCCAAAAGGGAGCTAGCTACATGCCTCTGCTGGCAATTAAACATAGTAACAGGAGTTCACAGTCTTAGTTTCAGTAAGAATGAAGCATTTTTTCTGCTTTATTTAGGTTTCACAGATATACAATTTGGAGTTTATAAAAAATTGGAAATTGATGAATTTGATACAGTGGAGGAGAAAAGAATCTAATCCTAGGAATAAATTAATTAGAATATGTTTTCTAATTCAGCTGTGATGGATTTCCTCTTATTCTACCATCTTCAACCTCTCTGATCTTCTCCAAATAACCAGGCTGTATTTTTTCTACTGTATTGTTTGCTTCACTCATCTTTCTGCATTGTCATTGATGTGGGATTCTTTTTAGTAGGATAATAGGCTGCACTCAGACAAAGCACATGTTGCTTCACAGTGTTAGATTTCTGATGCTATTTGATATCACACCTACCCCTTGGTTATTTCTGGACTCTTGTTTTCCTAGAAAAGTCTTGTTTGTTTTAGGAAAAGCCTAATAATACTGTACCAAATAAGTGGCTTAAGAATGTCTGGTCTGTGTCTCTCCTGTCCATACAGCCTTTGTTCTGTTTTCCCAAGGGAAACCTTTTACTGAATTTTACTATATATTTTATTTGTATGTTGTAGTAACCCCTATAATAGTATGATGGTTAAATGCCCTTTATTTAAGGTAGATGCCAGAGTATAACCCAGGTGTCACGTGTGCCTTTTTCTTATGCTGCTGCATTCAAATTAGTTGATTGCTCTTTCCAGTCTGTACTCTTGAGTGTCTCATGGACTTGAATTTCCCTTCACTGTCTATAGGTCCTGCCACCAGTGGGTACTGAACTTCCAGCTGGTACTCCACCCAGTGAGCAGCTGCCACCTTTTCCAGGACCTTCACTAACTCAGGTGCCCCAAGATTTGGCAGATTTCTTCTTGTGCCCCTACTTTCTTTCACAGAGCTTACTTATTCTCCATTGCATGATCTTGGCTTCTGGCTCCTATTTGGTGTTGGCTTAGAACAGCTTTCTTTTGAAACATTGTAGCTGGTGACCCAGACCCCATTTAAAGTAAGAAGCTTCGTCATTCTTTTGTTCATAACATTGCTTCAAGTCTTCTAGAAAACTTTTGGTATTTATATCTTTTCATATCCATGAAGGAAGAAAATAGCAAAGTTGACATTTTGCCAGACAAATATAACTCTAATTCACACTTTTGTAAATAGTGACACTGCATCTTAAGTACGAGATTAGTTTCTAGACCACTGTGGAAGTAAACAATTTACATAGTCAAAGTTAATTTTGAAAATTCCTTAGGAAAGGGTACCACACTATAATTGGTAATGCCCCTATTCTGAGTTCAGTGCTGCCAGTTTTTTCTTGAAAGTTTGACATTTCTTTCAGAGACCACCTGATAAAATAATTGGCTTACATACGGTTGAGTGTAAGGGTTACTCTTCATGAAACATATGTACTGTATCTTTAAGTTTAAAAACCCACACCGTTCAGCTAACCTGTGCTCATGAAAGAACTAAGACCAGTGACATGAACAAGAGATTCCCATTTCACACTCAGTTCTGCTCATTGGGTATAGTGGTGGTCAGAATTGCCTGTAATATTTGAATTATTTCCCTTTCCCATGCTACTACACCATCCAACACATTTATTTGAATTCCCGTAAGGAAAGTACTCATTATGAATCCATTGTATAACCAATTTCTGCCATGGGACAAATAAATATTGAAACTAAATTAGGAACTCATTTCCGAATTGTATAAAAGAAAAACATGGTAAATTGTTAACTTGAGAAGTCTGAATTTATCCCTACATCTTTAATCCCAGATGTACAGTAGAACATAATTTGAGGAACTTGCCATAATAACATAACTCAGAGAACCCACTTCATCAACTACTAAATTTTGAGAAAATTGCATTGTGAAAGTATGCAAAATGAGTAGTTTTAAACCAGTTTTCTTATTAAAAACATGTATTCAGATTCCTAAGAGGATTTAAAGAGTGATGAGAAACAGCAAATAAGACATGGAGGGGTGAGGGTAAATTTTATTTGTACCCTCAAATATAGTGCCTGGATATGGAGGAAGAAGCATAAATGAAGGCTGTAGAATAGTTTGATAGAAGCCAAGATAGATGTAGGATGAGAGACTGTGGCAGAGGTAAAAGTTATGGCCTTGGAATGGATGGTAGTAGGCCTGATTAAGAGCATGGAGGGTCCAGACCTCCTGTTCCTTCGTGCTGCCATTTATAGGGTATTAGAAGTATATAGATTGTTAAGACCTGAAGGAAAGAATAGTATCCCTTGATAGTGACAGAATATGTTAATGCCATCTTTTATTTATAAGGTCTCAAAGATTTACCAAACTGAAAAAAAATAGGGAACATGTGATACAATTAATCTGCCAATAGATCTTGAAGCATTTTTCAAAATATGTTTTTAAAGAGAAGATAAATAGATAAGAAGATAAGAAAGAAGACTCAAAACTATAAAAACATAAATTAACTGAGTTTAAGTTTAAGAGATTGACAAAATTTTGAGACTGGTAAATCATTCAAGCAATCTAAGTCAAACTTAGTATATTGAGTTTTATATTCAGTGAAAAGACAGATGTTATATTATATGAATCTAAAGCATAAACCAGTATGCCTTATATAAATTTGTAAGATAAGAAAGAAGACTCAAAACTATAAAAACATAAATTAACTGAGTTTAAGTTTAAGAGATTGACAAAATTTTGAGACTGGTAAATCATTCAAGCAATCTAAGTCAAACTTAGTATATTGAGTTTTATATTCAGTGAAAAGACAGATGTTATATTATATGAATCTAAAGCATAAACCAGTATGCCTTATATAAATTTGCTATCTGTAGTGTCTCTGAATATGTATGCCAAGGACCTGTACTTAACTGTGGTTGTTTTTATTCAGTCCCAGCAACCTCTGGAAGATCTTGATGCTCAGTTGAGAAGAACACTTAGTCCAGAGACTGTTGCAGTGACATCTGCAGTTGGTGTAAGTTTTGAAAATCTTGAACTCTAATACATTATAATTCTGGAACTTAACCTAGGTCATTACTAATACCTTTATCACCTATTCAGAGTCTGTTTGTTCCAGCCAACAGAAATAAGACAGATTGATGAAAAATTAACATTCATCCAGCAGTGTAACTATGGGAAAAAATCTGGTTTGAAAGATAGTGTTCTTGCCTCTGGTTAGAAGTGTATATAGGCCGATCCTATCGATTTTGTGTTCATGCTTTGGGGGAGGCTGTACTTCAGAATTTGCCTTCTCCTTTCAGGCTTGTGACACAATAATGTTCTGATTAAAACTACTCTGTGAATATCCTAGTTACACTCTTAAGTACCCCATGAAATTAACAAAGCAACATAGAAGAAGTAAGACACAAAATTTCTTAAAAATCTGTCTTTCTTTACATCAGACTTACTCTTAGGCTATTAAAAAAAAAAAAAACAGAAAATTCCCTTGGATGTAAGTGTGTCTTTACATACACTATCTTTCTGCCCCTTTTAAAGACCAGAGGAAAGGTAGCAGGACAAACATTTAAGAATGACTGGCGCTAAAGATCTGTGGTGTCTGATTATGTGTTTTGCAGCCTGTGCCCATGGCAGCTCCAGCAACAGTTCCGGAAGCAGGAGCACAGCCTCAGAAGGACGGTGAGAAGCATCTTCTTCCTCTCCTATTCCCTCTTGCAGTCCTCACTGCCATTGATCAGAGATGTTACAGTTTCAAAGATATATTCTTGAGAACATAGATGTATATGAGACTCTTTAAAGAACATTTTTATGTATTTCATGACTAAGGAGTGTTGATAATGTATAGAGCATGTAGTAATATGGAAATTAATGACTCTTTTGTGTTATCTTTTTTTAAGGGGGCACATAAGGGGTAATAAATTTCTTAGCATAAGACCTTATGTTATTAGGTAGGACACATCCTTGCTAAGAGTTAAGGAAATGCAGTCATATTTATAAAAGTTAGTTTGCTGGTAACCTCTTGGCTTTTGTGACACTGAGTATTTAGAGAGAGACAGGCTTCAAATAACATGGATGATAGAAATACAAATGTAAGATTTCGATTAATCAGTTTAAACATTTTTATTTCTGAAATCTTTAGACTTGGTTTGTTCATAAATATAATGTCTTTATAAGGTCATATTTCCAACTTAATTTTAAAAAACACATCAAGACCAATAACTTAAATATTTAATTAGAATTTTTATCACCTGTGCATAGTCATAAGTTCCTATCAGCTACTACTGTTCTGAAGTTTTATTGTGAATCTTTTCACCACATCAACAGTACCACAGAACCTAGTAAATTTGAAATTTCTACTTTTTGTTACCTTTCCCTTCAGAATAATTTATATTCAAAAGTGACAAATAATTAAATGTTAGCTGTATTTATTCAATGTGATTTTGTTTCCTTAGCCCATGTTTAATATTAATTTTCCCTTTTTTATACCATCCATTCTCTTCAGCACCACTTGGCAAAAATGTACTCTTTGTATAACTATTAATGATTACCTGAATGCTCTTACTTCTTTCTGTCTTTCTTAAATGCCAACTTTTACTTAAAACTTATTTAAATTATTTCTAAACCAATTACATTCTGAAATGGCTCCCTCATTTTAAGAGAAGTGACTTGAAAGTCAATGAAACAGACTAGAAAGTCTAGAAATGGACAAACCAAAAGAGAATGTAGAATGTGAAAAAGGTCGTCTTTCAAATCAGAAAAGGATGGAGATACTGCAATAAATGGTTTGGGACAAACGCACAGATCTGGAAAAAAGCACAGATCGCTAACCTAGACCAAAATAAATTCCAAATGGATCAAAGATGAAAAATGATATCATAAAATAGTACTGAAGAAAACGTAACAGAAAAAAAGTTTTAACTGTCTAGGGTCAACAAACTTTTTTTGTCAAAGCCCAGACAGTATATATTTTAGGCTTTGCTGGCCATGCAGTCTCTGTCACAATTACTCCAATCTCCTATAGCCCCAAAGCAGCAGTAGACAATACATAAATGAATGAGTTCGGCTGTGTTCCAGTAAACTTATTTATAAAAACAAGCAGTAGTTTGAATTTGGTCCATGATTGTGGTTTATTGATCCTGATACAGAGAAAAGTGTTTTTATATTTAATACCAAACCCAAACACAGTAAAGATTTAAGTTTCTCTGCATGGGAAAAAAAAATGCCATTAGGTCCAAAGATAAATGAAAAGCTAGGAAATATGTATGTACATTCATATCATAAAAAGAACTACTTTTGCTAATATAAAGAGTTCCTATAAATTCAGCATGGACCAAAAAATAAGATACAAAAAAAAAGAAACATAGACATGGAAATACTTAAGTTCCTTCACGATAACCGAAATCCAAAGTAAATGGCAAGTGCTAGTTAGCATTTCTCATCTCTTATTTGCAAATTCAGAAGTTTAATTAACTACACGGGTGACTTAGTACAGCCTCTTTGGAGATCAATTTAGTAATATCTACCAAAGTTTTAAATGGAAAAGATTCATCACTTCATTCTTAGGTATTTATTCCACAGAGCTCTAAGAAAATAGTCATTACAGCACTTTTACAATACTGAAATTCTGAATAACTTAAATATCCATCAGTAGAAGCTTGGTAAAAATACATACATTTTTAAATACATATAATGCATACATACTGTACAACACTATGCAACCATTAAAAAGAATGGGACATATGGAATGACAACTAAGATAAATCATTGAGTGCTGGTATACATCTATGTAATCTCTAGAAAGAAAATGAAGTGATTGTCACTAGAGAGGACCTAGGTGGCTTTAAAGTTGCTCAAAACTGTTCAACAATGATGCCAATGCCTCTACTGTCCTGTTTGGAGATTTTGCCTACCTGTTGCTTAAACCTGTTTGCCAGAGTTGGTTTTCATTTAAAAACGGGTCTTTAATATCTTAGATGTAACCTCATCGTCCCCATAAAATATTTATATTTTGAGTTAAAGAATAAAATTAAGTTTTTATTGCCTGTTAACCTTAGTTTTTATAGTATTTCTTAATGTTTTAGTTAAGCTGTGAAACTGTTTTGCTTGTGTATAACTTTTATTCCTTCAAGTGATGCCATGTCATCTGTACATGTATACAAAGAAAGGTAGAGGGTTGATGATAAATCTTGAGCCTTTGACAAGTTTTCAAAAACAGTACAGTCTTTCATACTGAAGCTAGCTAGTAAGAGAGCAAAAAATTTGTTTCCCCTTTTTGCACAAAGCCTAAGGGGAAAGGAAGGTAAGCAAATTTTTCCTTGCTTCTAACTTTACTCATCCGATAAGTAGTTTCACTTTGCTGTATTTCTGGCCAGAGGGAAAAAGAGTTAACAAAAAGAGCATATGCTAAGTTATTTTCTTCCTCTCTGTGTTTGTTTCAGTTTCTCAAGTCACAGAAGGTCCTGGCATATTAACTAGTTCAGGGACTGGTGTTTTTAAGATGGGGCGGTTTCAGGTAAGACCTTCATTTATCCTTGATTTGACTCCCTCTTTGGAGGGGCATACATAATATAATTGGTACCTACCTTTTAGGACATAATTGCCAATTTGATGATATATTTCTTTTATATAGCACTTTATAGATCTTTATCATTTTTCTTTTTAAAATAACACATGCTATGAAGAAAATAAAGACTTTAAAACAGTAGAGATGCAGTAGGTAGTCCTACTTTCTGCGCATCCTCCCATCACCACACACCCCAAGATTACTTTTTGGGGTGTATTTTCTTCCATCCCTATTATGTGTACTTGGGTGTATCTAAAATTGACCCTGCCTTTCCTCTGAATTCTTTATTACAGCCTTTTTCCCATCTAGTAATTGGTTTACCTAACCATTATCCTGTTGTCATTAGGTTGTTTCTAATTTTTACAACATAATAAACATCTTTGTATATAAAAACATTTTCCATATTTAGTATACTTTACTTACCATTAATTTCTGAAGTGAAAATACTGAGTCAGTATCAGGTGATAGATCATTTTGTTTTCCCAGCTTGTCCAACAAGTGAATATATTCTGGCTCTTACTATATTGTGCCAAGCAAGCTTTGAAAAAATCATTGTTTTTACTCTTTCACAGCAATTTTCTGATTATTCTCATGATTATTTCTCATTATTCTTGGGATGGAGATACTGTGTGATATTTTTCTCATTTGTAGAGGTTCTAAGGGTTTGTAGCTGGGCCAAGATTGTATTTATAACACATGGACAGACCAGGGCCAGGATCTGGATACTCCTTTTAGTACCATTTAGTTGTGTTAATTTTTGAAGCTTAGCTGGCACTTAACATTTATTGGATTTGTCTTTGTAGTTTTTCTTATTTACAAGCAGCCTTCCAAGATTCTATGACCTGTTGTTATTTATTATATTTTCTCTAAGACATAAGTCTTAGTGCATAACTTGAGACGTGAAAATAAATCACTTATTTATTAAGTGTAGCGAGTCACTCAGAATCTACATTTAATCTATACAATCCAACAGACATACATTATTGTTCTCTATAATGGTATTCAATTTATTTTCAGTCAAAGAGGGAGGGACTGTGTAAACAGATAATCAGCCTACTCACTGAGTGGGAAATAAGGTAGTTTTCTCTCTCTCTCTCTTTAATGATCCATTTTTTCTAAAAATTGAATACTGGAGATTTGTGGTCTCTTTCCATCAGGTTTCAGTTGCAATGGATGATGTCCAAAAAGAGGGTAAAAGTAAGTCAGAAGATATAAAGTCTGTTCATTTTGAGTCCAGCACTTCAGAGTCCCCAGTGCTGTCAAGCAGTAGCCCAGAGAGTACCCTGGTAAAGTCAGAACCCAGTGGGATGGCCCTCCACAGCGTCTCTCCAGCTAGGCCTGAGAGTGCCCACCAGACTCCTGGCTTAGAAGCTGGGTGTCCCACCAAGGTCGGACGTTTTCAGGTGACAACTACAGCAAACAAAGTAGGTCGTTTCTCCGTGTCAAGAACTGAGGACAAGATCAACGAGGCGAAGACAGAGGGGCCCGTGGCATGTCCTCCTTTTGTGGACTTGGAACAAGCTATTTCTCCTGTAATACCAAAGAAAGAAAAGCCTGAACTGTCAGAGCCTTCACCTCTGAACGGGCCATCTTCTGACCTGGAGGCTGCCTTCTTAAGTAGGGATGTGGATGAAGGTTCAGGTAGCCCACACTCCCCCCATCAGCTGAGCTCAAAGAGCCTTCCTATCCAGAACCTAAGTCAAAGCCTTAGTAATTCATTCAACTCCTCTTACATGAGTAGTGACAACGAGTCAGATATTGAAGATGAAGATCTAAAGCTAGAGCTGCGACGACTACGGGAAAAGTAAGTATGTTTTCTTCTGTGAAAGAAGGTGGCAGAATTGTATTGAGACCCAGCTCCTGGTGCCTAAATTAGTATTCTTTTCAGTGCAATGTTTACATCTCATTTCTTTTAAAGAGAGGATGATACGGAAAAACTAGTTAAATTCTCATTAGGTTTCTGGTATTCATAAGGACCCATGACATTTCTAGTTATAGAATTTCTTCAGCACCTTTGTATTATTGTTACCATATTATTGTTTTTAGTAATAGCACTTTTTACCATTGTTAACCTAATCTTAGCTGTTTACTAATCTACCTAATGAATCCAGTCATGGCACTGGGATGTAGATAATGTTGGCAGGTTTTGTCAGTCATACTCTACAAATTAGATCAGAGGAGCAAATTCAGTACTCTACATGTAGCCTCAAAAGTCAGGAAATCTTTTTCTCTTAACACATCATTAGCCATTTGTTGTTAGCTAGGAGCTTGTTGGAATTTGGCTTGGATAATGGTGGCCAGCAAGATGAGATGACAAACTAAAATCTCAGGGTAGTATAAGTTACATTAAGTACATTTGTGAAAAAGATTCATGAGTAAGTAACTACCTGAATGGAGGTTAAAGAATATTATTGTTAATTCTTGTTTAAGCAAAAGTAGTTACAATATTTTTTAATTATGTTTGGTTATCCTTCATAGACATCTTAAAGAGATTCAAGACCTGCAGAGTCGCCAGAAGCACGAAATTGAATCTTTGTACACCAAGCTGGGCAAGGTGCCCCCTGCTGTCATTATCCCCCCAGCCGCCCCTCTTTCAGGGAGGAGAAGGCGGCCCACTAAAAGCAAAGGCAGCAAATCCAGCCGCAGCAGTTCCTTGGGGAATAAAAGCCCTCAGCTTTCAGGTAAAATGCCCTGGACCAGGTCATCATGGCTGTCTCCGTTTTTGTTTGTCTCCAACTGTATAACCTATTGAAAACTTAATTTTTGTTAAATTTCAAAGGGGTTGGCTTTCCTAATCTCGCTTCCTTGACTACTCCCCATATTTGTAGTACCTCTCTTTGAGTCTGTGGGAATAGACTCAGTGAGTACAATGGCTTATCCCATTGTAATCCATATTGCTCTCTACTGGTAGTCTTCATTTTTATAGTTCTTAAGGATAAACATTTAGCTCTGCCTGGTAATTCATATAACTCACATTTCACTAATCTTTTGGGCAGTTGGAAGAAAATATATTGTTTTATCTTTAGTAAAGTTCATGTAGGTTCTTCCTTTTTTTTGAGGGCATCTCTCATATTTATTGATCAAATGGTTGTTAACAACAATAAAATTCTGTATAGGGGACTCAATGCACAATCATTAATCAACCCCAAGCCTAATTCTCAACAGTCTCCAATCTTCTGAAGCATAATGAACAAGTTCTTACATGGTGAACAAGTTCTTACATGGTAAACAGTGCAAGGGCAGTCATATCAAAGAAACTTTTGGTTTTGATCACGCATCATGAACTATAAACAAGTCAGATATGATTATTCATTTGATTTTTATACTCGATTTATATGTGAATCCCACATTTCTCCCTTATTTTTTTTTGTAATAAAATGTTGAAGTGGTAGGTAGATGCAGGATAATGGTAGAAAACATAATTTAGTGCTGTAAGAGGGCAAATGTAGATGATCAGGTCTGTGCCTATAGACTAAGTATTAATCCAAGCTAGACAAGGGCAACAAAACATCCACGGATGCAGAAGATTTCTCTCAAAATGGGTGGTGAGGTTCTAAACCTCACCTCTGTTGATCCCCAATTTCTCACCTGATGGCCCCCCTGCGACTGTGCCTGTCTTAGGTTGTTCCTCCCTTGAGGAATCTTACCCGTCTCTGGCTAACCAGCCGTGTTCCGGGGCCATACAGGGAAATGTAAAGTTGGTAAGTGAGAGAGAAGCAATATTCTTTGAAAAGGTTAGCTTTTTACTTCTTTGCAGATTTATGCCCTGTGGCTTCTAGGTATCTTTACCACTTGTAAGAATTATGATACTCGGTAATTTTCGATATGAGGCATGAATTCTATTAAAGGGCTGTAATTAGGAAGGAAGAAGAAAAGCTATAGAAGTAGCAGATGGAAGAAAACATGGGCAGATTGATTATTTCTTTGACATAACTTCTTGTAGAGTAACATAAGCATGTATAGGTTTTAACAAACTACTAATTAAATTGCATACACACATTAACAGAACAGGAATACAGATACATAACAAAAGCAGACCTACAATTACCAGCCATATCCAGTGAAGAAGGTTCTTCTTTTAATGAATGAATTGGTCAAAATTGAAACTGGGATGAATATAAATTTCATACAGATATTTGGGTATATCTTAAGGAGTAATTTCCTTGATTAAAGTTTTATTTCATTTATCTGTATTAGAATAAAAAACTTGCTAGTTGTTGTAACCAAAGAAATAGAAAATCTAAGTCTGTACTTCATATTTGCTCTTCAGGTCTAATAGAAATATAGTGGAGATCAGTTGCAGACTTCTTGGCAGCTTTCTGTTATCTGGAAGCTTTCAGAAATGCAAACCTTTTCTCTAGCACGTTAAAACCAATTCATTAGTAGAGATGTGATTAAAAAGGATATCAGCTCATTCAGAGTGTTGATCCCAATTTTGACTTACTTTTTTGAGTCGACTTCTGTTTCACTAGTTACTAGGGAACGGAGCCGTTGGCCAGTTTTAAGACACTTGGCTAGCAATGAGAGCCACCTACAAACAGTAATTTTAAATGCACATTACTCTGTAGTCATCTACATCCTTTTGACACCTCTTTTGTATTTGATCTGATACATGTTTACAAGACACAGAGAATGCATACCAAGCCAACTTGTATTGTGATCCAACTCATTGTTTTAAAACAGAGTAAAAAGCACTCATAAACTTGTCAAATGAAATTCCTTGTATCTACTACATGTTCTAGTTTTCTTATGCAGCTCAGACTTTAGAACCCTCTAGGTTATCTAAACCTGAAACTCCTTTAGGGTAGTTTCCTATAGCCCTATTGCCTGTTGATTCTCATTCATTCCTTACTTCCCCTCCTGTTAGTGAGGATTATACCTTTCAGCCCATTAATAATAACCCAGTGGGACAAACCAGAGGAATAAGAACAGTGCCTGTTAAGTACATTGGGGAAACTGTACATGTTGCCACATACCACTTTCTTTTGGCAGGTAATCTGTCTGGTCAGAGTTCAGCTTCAGTCTTGCACCCCCAGCAGACCCTTCACCCTCCTGGCAGCATCCCAGAGACTGGGCAGAGTCAGTTGTTACAGCCCCTTAAGCCATCTCCCTCCAGTGACAACCTCTATTCAGCCTTTACCAGTGATGGTGCCATGTCAATACCAAGCCTTTCTGCTCCAGGTCAAGGTAAGAAATCAAAGCAATCATCATCTTCCAAAAATATTAAGATGGAGATTTTGCCTTGTCTGTAACAAAAGCCTGATGGTTATCTTCTTGCTAAGGTAGCTCGGAAGATCAGCCAGCCAGAGAACAGCCTGTATATTGTGCACTTACGGATGTTTTGGGTAGAAAGGGGAAGGTGGGTGATGATTAGATTAGGCAGGGTCATTACTCCCATCAGGTGGAATAGCTTTTTTCAAGGGATTAGTGCAAAAAGTTATACCTGTGCCTATATAAGCATATAACCAGGTTGATGACTTGTTTGGAATTTGGAACTAAGGCTTTAATACTAGACTGAGATTTCCTGGACCAAATTCTAAGGTGTTGCAGCAGTTTCCGAAAGCTCACTGCATTTACTTAGCCGGTGTGGACTTTTTAGTTTATAAGTATGGGAATAGCTTGCTAAGGTAAATAGCCCCACACTTCAGTTTTTTATCCAAAATCTACTGTCCAAATGCAGTTTTGTTTACTAATGATCATTCAAAACATTCCTGTACAAGAAAGAACTTCTAGTAACATTAGAACAGCAATTGAAAGGAGGTGGGTGGGAAAAAATGAGAGGAAGTCTAAATGAGTAGCTCTGGTGCTTTTGGCACAGTGTCAAAGAAATTGAAGATTAGACTGTCTCTTCCCAAGATGAATGCCTGTGCGTGGTAAGCGCACAGACTTGCTAGTATTATTCCCCCTGGAAGAGCTTCAGCGTTTTGCAGATGGAGGAACTTGAGGCCTAGTATTTCCCATCCTGTATATCTGACCTGCCCTAGAAGCTTGTTCTTCTATGTGCCATCTTAGTGCATTTCACCACTCCAGCCTCGAGTTTCTAACATCTTGTAGTTGTGTTCTGTCTCTTCTCTCTCTGTTCTTCCCTGTTTCCCCCTCTCACAGGCTGTGCGAAGTTTAACTGTGCATCTGAGCAGGTGACATTCAAACCTGGTGGCAGGAGGACCCGATTTCTGAGTACGCCCTGCTTGGCTCTTTGTGTGTAACACCTTTACTCCTTCCTTGTCCTTGTTTTTCTGCTGCTTGGATCTGTTGTTTCATGCAGTCCATTTTCATTTGTCTCTTATCATCTACTCAGTGGCTTCGCTGAACTACTATTACCCTCAGAAGTTTGGGTCTCTGTTAATTGTGATGATGTAGAAATAATAGGTGTCTATACACTTCAGAATAACTTCCTGGTAGAATTGCTTCTTCATTGATCTGGGACAGAGGGTAGATAAAATGTCAAGACAGTATAAACTGCTGGGTCATATTTAGACTAGCAGAAGTTGAACGCCACAGTCCTTTCAGGACTATCCCTTGCTCTGGCAGTAGAAGTAACAAAACATCTTGACCATGAGGCACTTAATCCTAGCAGTAAGTAAAAGTTACACCCTATTTCTCTCTTCTTTTCCAGAGTAGGTTGTAATCTTTTTTAATTCTCAATAAAGCCTAACCATCTATCATTTGAAAAGATGTTAGAATCTCTTCATTATATCCTTTCACCACCACTACCTCCCTCATAAAATCAGTAGTTCAAAAGGGGTTTCACTGCAGTTATTCTGATAAAGTATTAATTTTATTAAAGACTGAAGCCCAGTACCTCAAGTGAAAATGGTCTTTTTGACATGATTACTGGGATTTCCCAGCTTTCTTAAAACAAGACACGTTAGCAAGCCACCCAACCTCTCCAGCCCATCTTCCCCACACGTGAAGTGAAGATGATGCCTCTCTCCTAGGGCCATTGTACAAATCAAACAAGATCATGTGCACAGAAACAGCACCTGGGAAACACACATCATTTCCCTCTGACTAGCCAGTGCCTACCTGCCACACAGTAGGTAGTCAGTAAATGTATATTGAAATGAAAAGTTTAAAAAAGTAAGTCCCGAGTAGAAAGCTTTGGTTAGAGTTTGAATAAAAATCTTCTCTCTTAAGGTCTCAAACTTCTGATGTGGTTATTGAAGTACTTTTTAAATGCATGTGCTAAGGCCATCATTGTTTCAAATGTGGTTCAGAGGTCCTTGTGCCTCATCTATCACTGCTAGTCCAGGGCTGTTTTAAAAAGGTGGAGGTGGCAGGCATTACCCAGTTTGGTAGTTTTCCAGGCACGTGTGATTTTTTAAGCACTCAGATCAATGACTTCTGTTTAGAGTGGGCTGGACCAAGCATATTGGCACCTTGACACTTAGAAAATCATTTAATTTGTATGTCCAGCTAGAAAGATGAAAAGACATTAATAGTAGGAGACAGATGTTATGAAGTAGACTGACATGTCAGGTCTCTGTTACACAGCCTGAAATGTCTGAGGGAAGGAGAGCCAAGGCCTTTTTGTGAAGTATACATAATGTGACAGGTGCCACTTCCAATTAGTTAAATCAACAAATCCCCATCACATTCTTAAAGGCAGGTAATATTAAACTGTCGTTCAAATGAAAGTGGTTAGAAATACTAAGTTTTATTACTTCCTTTTGGGTCAACACCCTACATCTGTTGAAGGCATATACTGTACATCATGTAAGCCTTGGTGAACAAATCTAGAAAGGCAGATATAAACCAAATATGCAAAGAAAACAGGTGCTTATATGTGTAGGGTCTTAACTAGTTTCAGATACATTATTCTGTGCTCTCAAAATAGATAATGGTTTAGAAGCACGGCTTGGCTTTAATGCTTTATTTATGTTCAAAAGTTGCTTGTTTTCCACATAGGTTTAAGGATTTTTCCAGAGGGAAAGGGGTTAGTATATATGGCTAGGATGTGAAATATATTGGCCAATTTAAATTAACTTGAAACTGTAACAATGGTACTACCAACCTACTATGGTAGAATTGTTAATGTATTTAATTGATTGCTTTTTAACAACCCAGCAGGAGAAACAGAAAGTGGGACAGGGTCAGTGGAAAGACTGCTTGGGTATTTGAAATTCAAGCAGTGAAACCTGAGAGATTTCATCCCAGAAACTAAACACAGGGCACAGGATACTCTCAGATACAGAGATTGGATGTGGAAACTCAACTTGTGTCAGCCAGGTACCACAGTCCATCAGATAAAACAGCCAGGAAGATACAGCCTATAGAATTGGAGCTGTGGCAAGGGCTCCCAGGTCCTACCATCTGTCTCCCCTCCTGCTTTCTCTTGCTGGGACTGATGTGCTGTTTGGAGATTCTAAATACTTACACTGATGTTTCTGAATCTTTAACACATTGCTCTCTCTTTGTGCTTCAGGGAAGATGGTGAAAAAAGTCTGTCCTTGCAACCAGCTCTGTAGTAATTATCTTTTCTTTCTGTTAATTTTGGCCCTTGATTGCAAAGCCTGTTTTCCATGAGTTATTTGAACCCTGAAGCCTCACAAACTCCCTGATTCCCAGCTTCCATCCGTCCAGACTGTTCCTTTTTCTACTTTATTAGTTAATATGTTTGATTGCTGACCACTGGCTGTCCTGGATTGGAAATCACCTCATAGTTCTCTCGGTGATGACCCCCTGTGAGCCCAGCTCTGTGGCATTTGGGGGTTGATGATGCCCAGGTAGTGTAGAGAGGTCAGGGATCTCCTTTGGAGAGTCCTTAAGTCAGCAGCTGTGTGCCGGCACTGGAAAATCAGCAGTCACCAAGCAGACAAAAGTTCACGCCCTCACGTCATAGTGAGGTGTCTGCCAGCACGGTGAGGACAGAAACACTACTTTGTAGAGTTTGGCTTCTTAGACTGGTGATTTCTCATTAAAGTGCAGACAGTTCAACAGCCCAGTAGGCCACCTAGAGGGTCAACCAGAAAACTATACTTGGGATCCTGGGCAGTAAATTGTGGCTCATAGCAGGTTATTGTTCCTAGGATCTGGTGGCGTGGGGAAGTGTGTTATAGCAGCAGAAAATCAATAAGTGGGCTTTTGGTAGTAAAGCCTACACTACTTCTCAGAGCTCTTCAGAACTGGGGAAGGTATAGAGGCCAGTCAGTATGCTCTCTGGAAGGTAAGCAGCGTTCTCAGAAATACTTGGATGACAAGTGTTCTTAAACACTTTCCTACTAAAATAGACTAAATGCAACCCATTATCCTAGCTTCTGTGCTCAAGTCAACTTTTCCCAGGAATTAATTACTGGTCGGAGGAGGCTGAGTTTGTTTGCTTTTTAATGAGAAAGCCTGTTTTCAGAAGCCAGAAAAAGAAAGTTAACAGTATAGTTGTGTCCCCCCGTGGTATAAACCCCATTTTCAGAATCTAATAGTGTGTAATAAAGATTAAAATGAAAAATGAAAGTTGGTTAAAAGGGGACCTCACAGCACCAAAGGCGAACTACGTGAGACTAGCGGGGTGGGACTCCCCGCATGAGCTCCTCACGAGCATGAGCGAGCAGCTCCACCTGCGCTGGGCCTGGCGTTTGGCTTGTGGCCGCTCTGCTCGCTGTGATTGTCTTACTCATCAGACAGGGTGACAGTCCTCGTGCATGTGACGTGTTTGCTTTCTGGATTTCATTGTCATCTCGGCTGCCACCCTCATTGCCTGTGCTCCCCCTTCCACCGCCGCCTCACTCTTACTCTCCTAGGAAGGCTGTTTCCTGTGCTTCTGTCCTGGGCCCCCTGGCCTTTTTGTGCCTCAGGGGTCTCACTCACCTTTACACTGTGTGTGGGTAGCGACCCCTCGTGGCTCCCGCGGGCACTGAGAAAGCTTCTGCCCACACCGCAGAGTTCTGGGTTTGCCTTAGTGATGAGAAGCATGTGGCTTTCCTCACTCTGCAGCTGCACCTCAAGAGTTAGCTGTTACTGCAGACATGCTTGTGGGTGCCGTTCCTTGGGAGCAGCTGCACACTTGATACCAGCAGTGGATCACATGGGGTTTTTAAATGGCAGAGCTGCTTAAGGCATGCTGCTGTGCTCTGGGGCTGCTTTGACCTTGCAAGCAGTGGGATTTGTGTGCACTTGTTTAGACCCGAGCATTACTTGGATATCTTAAGGCCTAGTGGCTCACAACCTACTTTGGTAGCTTTTATTTATTCTGCAGCCAATGTGAGATCTGGTAAGAAAGTGGGGGGCGAGGGAAAAAAACAAGACCATGACTCTTCTTTCCCTCTTCCCCACAACTTGCCGCTCGAATAATCCTCAGTGTGCCCTCCGGCCGAGCCGAAACCAGGCAGGACACAGACTCCTTCCTTCCCTCTCATCAAGCCATAGAAATAGAATTCCTTCATGATGACCTCAAAGCTTCCCGCTCCCCCTTCTTTACACCCGCCTCAGCTGGAATGTTCCTGATGCTTCCACATGAGAGTGCTTGCTCTTTGGGAAGAGGGGGGAAAGAGTGAGAATCCTTGACCCCACTGGACCTGAAGTCATCTTCAGGAAAATCGTGTCTTCCTGGAGTTGAAGGTTCAGGCACAACATAGAGAACCTTCCTCATGAGTAGTCTTGGTCTTTACTCAGGAAATTGAGAGAGGTTGAAGCCTTAGTTCCACCTCTCCCAAAGTTTATGTTTACAGATTCATGCTTATGGGTCCAGGTGAAAAGTTTTTTGAAAAGAACATGCTCTTTCTTATAACACCTCTTTCTGTTGAAGAAGGGCTAATGACTATGGCAGTGCCTCCTGCTTTGGGAACCCCATCTTTCCCTGGGCCAAGCACCTATCTTTGCACTCCTTTAGCTCAACTCAATGCTCAAGAATCCTCTTCTTTTGCCCTACATTCCACAATATTCTAGAGCAACTCACCTCATTGGCCATACCACAGCGCCCTCAGCAGTGTGCCCTGGGACTGGAGTACTAGCAGGGCTCCAGGGGGGTCTGTGAGGGGCAGAGGGGGCCCCCCTCCCTTTGCACCTGCCAGTATACTACGTTGTTGAGCCTCCTCTGCAGCTCCTGAAGAGAATCTGTTTTCATTACCCTGTGATGCCAAATACTTGGCTAAACAGACCTTGGGACTTTCCTGTCTTGCATGGCTTCCCCATTCATCCCCTCCCCATTCAGTGGCTTGCCATTCATCATCCTGTAAAGTTTTCTCTCTTCCTGAAGTTACAGCCCATGCTCTTTGTCATGGTTACATTTTCGTGCTCCTTCTAACTCTAGGGACCAGCAGCACAAACACCGTGGCAGGAACAGTAAACAGCCAGGCAGCCCAAGCCCAGCCTCCTGCCATGACGTCCAGCAGAAAGGGCACATTCACAGATGACCTGCACAAACTGGTAGACAACTGGGCCCGAGATGCCATGAATCTTTCAGGCAGGAGAGGAAGCAAAGGACACATGAATTATGAGGTAAATGTTCCCTTTTTGCCATTTTTCCCATTTGTTATAGCACCACCTAGCACACATCTGAATCAAGAGATGATGTAAATGACCTAGGCTAGTGAACTTTATACTTAGTAGCTCATGAATTTAAACACTTTTCGAAAAACAAGACAAAAATCATCCAAGTACCCTTTTACTTCTTCCCCCCTGAGTCCCTAGTTCCCTGCTGGTCAGCTCAGTTCTTCTTCCCTTTTTCTTCAACACCCTGGACTGGACACACAGACACAAAGTAGCATGAACAGACACTGCCACTCCCAACCAGGAGTTCTTACCTGATTTGATGAGCGTAGAGCCAATAATGGAAGATTTTGTTTTGGCTTTTGTTTCACTGTACCTTCTAAGAACAGTCCCAGTTCTAGAACTGTATTTTAGTACCACCCATTTCACACCCATGTGTGTTCTACCCACACAAAACTTTACATGTAGTTGTTTTGTTTTCAGGGCCCTGGGATGGCAAGGAAGTTCTCTGCACCCGGTCAGCTGTGCGTCTCCATGACCTCAAACCTGGGCAGCTCTGCCCCCATCTCTGCAGCATCAGCTACCTCTCTAGGTCACTTCACCAAGTCTATGTGCCCCCCCCAGCAGTATGGTTTCCCAGCTCCCCCGTTTGGGACTCAATGGAGTGGGACAGGTGGTCCAGCACCACAGCCGCTTAGCCAGTTCCAACCAGTGGGAACTGCCTCCTTACAGAATTTCAACATGAGCAGTTTGCAGAAATCCATCAGCAACCCCCCAGGTTCCAACCTGCGAACCACTTAGACCTAGAGACATTAACCAAGTAGATTCAGGGGCAGGAGGTGGAATGCTGAGGGGCGGGGGAGGAGGGTGGGGGGGAAGTAGCCTACATACTAACTTCTAGTGCTGCATATAACTGGTTATTTCCTGCCAGAAATGAATGTGTTTAATGTTGCTTAGAGAGCCCTCAGAGTGAAGAGTCACCCTCCTCCCATCCCATTTATTGGTGGGGAGAAGAAGAAAAGAGCAGCTTTCTCATGATGGGGCAGCTTCAAAATATGGTTTCCTATTTATCTGGCAACGATGAGGGCTAGGAAGGAACCGTGGGAGAGCTCAGCGGAGAACTATACCCCATCCGTGTTTTCAAGTGGATGGAGCTCTTAATTTTAAAAGGTACCCACCCCAAATCCCTTATTCCCTCACAAACCTAAGCCTCAAGACAAAAAAATAATGGGCACCTCTTCTACCCTCTCCCCACCACTTTTTTTTTTTCTTTTTCTTTTTTTTGCTCTTTAGAACTCAGTGAAAAACACCAGGGGGCTGAGGTTTCAACTCTTTCTTATGATAGGTCATTAGTGCTTTAAGCAAACATTAGCAGCTCTGACTGCAGCATTAGCAATTAGGAAAAAAAAAAAACAAGTTCCCTGCGGACATGTAACTTTGCCATCAGTTTTGATGTGGAAACACTGTGATATATAAATGTTGTTGGACAACAGTAGTTTTAAGAGTAAAATATGAAAGGTTTAAAAGGTTGGAAAAAAGCAAGCTCTATCCTTTACTTATTGAGACACTTTAACTTTTTCCTTTGTATTTCCATTGTATTAGATAAATAAATGTGAATGTAAAATTGTATACAATACTGTACTTGAATACTTCTGTCTCCCAGTATTGCTTGCTGGATATCTTAGTGCCTTGGACTTCTATTGCTTCTGCCATTAGCATCAAATTCTCATCAGACCCCCCAGATCAGTAAAAGGCATGTGGAAGGAACTCTCAGGTCCATGTGACTCCAGCAGGGACTCACACCAAAAGGAAATTGAAAGAGTATTTTTTCTTAAGTCATTAAATTTTGTCTAGAGCAGGTGTAAGAGAGGCAGGGTAGGAAGTTAAGTTGACATCAGTGGTTGAAAGCAGATAAGCTCTGTTCAGGAACAGTGAGGAGGGTGTTGTCACAGAATTGGGCAGTTTGAAGACAAAGGGTGGTGTTTGATAAAGTGAAAAGAAAAAGACTGTAAAGAAGAAGAGAACAGACTTGTCTTGAAGATACAGGAAGCCTGGCCAATGGATGCAGCAAGCCTCACTTGAGCTGGGTTTGAACAGATGAGACCTAGAAGAAATGGCTGAATGCAAAGGAAGGGGGTGGGGCCTGTTAAGTTGGGGGACGTGATGGTACAGGTGGAAAAGTTGCTCTAAGAAAAACTGGCTTACTTTCCTCTTATTGCAGATGTATGTGCATTCCTCAGCTTGGGGTACCCATTTTGTGGGAAGTGAACCCACATCTGAAGGAATGGTTTGTGGGAGAGAACGCTTTACTCCTGTTCCTCCTTAGGATGTCCATTGGTTGTGGGATTATAATCTATTGTGCCACCTTTGTGTCTAGAATTGGAACTAATCTCATTTTTCATAAAGCAAATATTCCCCTTAAGTGAAAATTGCAACCAGCCAGTATTACTTATTCATGCACCTAGTTGTCCGGCACAGTTCTACTTTGAGAGCTTCGAGTACTAACTTGGCCACCTGTGGGATCCCTGTTCTTACTGAAGATAAGGAACAAAGCCAGGACTCTAATTCTGGATGCTGCTTCTCTTGACTCGAGTTGGGGAATTGACGTATTTCCAACCTCTCACCCACTCCAGGGGCGCAGCCTGGGAACCCCCGCAAGCAGGATCCCGGGTGGTGTCCTGCCGTTCCTCCAGGGGTCCCGTTCTCTTCACGGAGTTAGCCAAGGCCCTCGAGGTGCAACAGGAGCCAAAGGTTTTAGAAGGTGGAAATGAAAAGAGCAGGGGTTCTGAGCCCTGTTCAGAATTGTTTACTTATTTATTCTCTGCTTATAATTCTTGGGTAGATGGTCAGAGTAAGGATAGAACAAAGAAGGTGCCAAGTGAATGAGAAACAGGCCACTTGGACAGATCAAACAATATACTTCTACCAGAGGAATGAGGGAACCAAATGCAGCACATTACTGTTTGGTTATTTTGGTTTAATAATTTTGGGATCTTTCCCCTCACACACAAAAAATAAGAACTGATTTTATTTACTATTCATTATTTTTCCCTCCTGTGGATGAAATAACTGAAGCCTAGAGAAATGAACTAGTGCTACTGAACTGTTTAAATTATTTTTGTTAATAGTACACGTTACCTTTTTCCACATTAAAAAAACTTTCTGAATTAAATGTTTTCCTTACATTATTTAACAATGTACTTTTAAAAAAACAAACTGAATCCAAACCCTGGGGGTTTCTCAGCAGCCGTTACTTGTACATTTTGCACTAACTCTGGGTATTGTGCTTCTTGTGAGATGGCGCTTGTGCTTCAGTTTGTAACCTTTGTAGACTTATTTAATGAAACCATTCAATAAACCAAACTTGCTTTTGTTGAGCTGTGGGTTTTATTTCCAGCAAATTCCTTTTTCATGATCTTAGCTTGGTTTTGAGTTGTGCATAATTTATAACTGGATTCTTAACGCCACAAAATTTTTCAGTGGCACTTCTGACCTGAACTAAGATTATGCTGCAGAGAAGGAAGATAATAGTTTCTCTGAGGAAAATGGTACGGTTATCAAAATCAAAAGATGAATACATAGTTGAGTCTGTGCAACAAGAGGCGGCGTACAAGGGAAGTCAGGGCTAAGCTGCTGCTCACCGCCTTCCTAGGCTTCGGGACTCCTTGCCTCAGGCTCATGACTTCCCACAAACGGGTCTGTGACCCCAAAATTGACAAAAGCTACTGCTTCAAGATTAGATAAAAATGCGGTCCAAAACATCCCTTAAAAACTAACATGGAAACTCATTTGGGGGGGGAAAGCAGCTATGAGAAAGCTAAACACTATGAGAAAACAATTTATGTTGAGGTGGGTAATATTTCACATCTCAAGTGAGGAAATAGAAACACTGCTTGAGGATTTATTTTGCTTTCTTAAAATGCCCTTTCCTTGATCTTAGATCATTACTTCCTTGATCAAGAAAAAATGCAAGACAGTGACATTGTAAATCTGAACAAGATTATCATAGAAGACAACTGCAACCTGGACTCACGCAAAGCAGTGAACCACCACAGCATTTGTTCTTGGCTAGCTGCCCGGAGCTCACATGGCTGGGCTCATGTGGAGCCCTAACATGCAGCACGCAGTGATGCAATGGAGGCAGTTGTTCAAGTTGTTGTTGTTCAGCAGTAGTACAGCTTCTACTGCTTGAGGGCAAGTAGCCACTGGTGATCCCTAAAATATCTATTACTATAATAGCCTAAGAATAAATAGTGAAGACCCTCAAGAGCCAAGAGAAGGCACCTAAGTTCCCCAGAGCCTCCCCACTGCAGTGTGTGACCAGCTTTTTAAAAGTGCTTGCTTTCCAGCTGCTCAGCTTCCTGTGCAGCAGGCTCCAATTGTCAGCTCTTCTGTTGAAGTTGAGACTGAAGCAAGGTAAATCCTTGGACATAAGGCTTATTCCCTAGAAACAATTTCATGACTAAAAAGTCATTTCTGAACATTCCTTTGTGATAGTCCCATGTGTGACCTGATCCTCAATTAACATGGTTTGCTTTCCTTTTCTTCATGTCCTGGTTCTTCCTATAGGAATCACAGTTGCCTGTGGAAGAAAAAAAACCATTTAAATACAGCTGCCTTGATTTTAAGATGAGTATTTGGGAGGCAGGTGGTAATTTGTGTTAGCCATCCTGATTTAGACTGAAAGCCCAAGATGAACTGTCATGAGAAGGACAGATCCCTGCTAACAACAGTCATGATGGACCTGCTTTTAATAGGAAAAAAGCTCTTCAATGCTTAAGCTTCCCATCACCATCAAGGGCTAAAAAGGAGTTATACCTCTGGACAGGACCCTAAATGAAAAGTTCTGACTCTTAAACCAATTATTTTCTATTTTCTCACACTGCTATTCCTCTAGCATGATTCTATCCGACTTCCTAAAATGCAATAGCTTTCTTCCTTTAAAATTTAACTCAAGTTCTCCAATTTTTGTTTCTAAACATTTTGCTACCTGTTAGGTCCTGGTTAACGTCATCAGTTTGGAGGTGCCAGGGTCCAGGTTTTGCTTGTGGATTCCGGTGGCAAAGGCTCTGTGGGTTCCTGTTCTGGGCGACCATCTGGTTCTCCAGGACTGGTGTGGCAGAGGTCTGGTGTGGCTCTGGTTTAGACAAGGGCTTGGCAACAACGTTCCCTGCATCCTGAGCCATACTCCACATTTCAAGATTGGCTGGAAGAACAGATCACAGAAAAAGAAGCCTCACTGAGTGTTCAACACACTGGGTGTGCTGGGAAATCTGTTCCTAAGAAATTCCATGTCACAAATGGACTTTTGACAGTTTTGGGAATTTGTTTCCCCTAACTTTTAAAAGTACACTGAAGCTTCTCTTGATTAGAGCAACAGGAGAGCTGATTGTATATTTATCATTCAGAATGCCATCAACCCATTTTGGGTCCTCTTTTCTCCTAAAACTCCATGGGACAATAAAAGATGCAAATGCAGACTTTGTCCCTCTTCTCAAAGACACAGGCACCCTTATTTGTTGTGCTCAGCTGTATTGTGTTCTGCAGATACTGAGTTTTTCTACTCATTGAAGGTTTGTGTCCACCCTGCATCAAGCAGGTCCAGCAGTTCCATTTTCCCAACAGATCTGCTCACTTCGTGTCTGCCACATGGGTAGTCCTAGCGGTGTTTCAAACGTTTTCATTACCGTGTTTGTTACTGTTACGTGGTCAGTGATCCCACTCACTGAATGCTCATCTATGATGGCATTTTTTAGCAATACTGTATTTTTTTAATTAAGGTATGTACTTTATTTAAGACATAATGCTATTTGGCACTTGCAGACTGCAGTACAGTGTAAATAGCTTTTATATGCACTAGGAACCAAAGAAAGTTCATTTGACTCACTTGTGATATTCACATTGCAATAGTCTAGACCAAGCCCACGACATCGCGCAGGTTTGCCTGTATTTGTGACTGCCAAAAAACATGGCACAGTAACTTAGAGGCATTTCGTAAGTATTTACTGATTCATACACAAGTCATCCTTTAGCTTCTGCTGACCTGCAAGGAAGTCTTCCACCGGGAGCGGTTCTGGAACAGCAGCTACGGGAATGCCGTGCTTCACAGGCGCCGACAGAGCCGCTGTGGTTTACAGAGGGAACAAGGGCACAGAGCCACGTAACTAACCTGCCGGAGAGCTGCCCGATGTCACACTGGTTCTCAGCACAGCCAGAACTGAACATGCCTGAGTCTGTCCTACCTTCCCATCTGTATGAAGTTAAAAACACTATATATTTTTTTCTCCTTACCAAATTGGGAAAAAAAACAGAAAAGTTTATTCCTCTTTTAGCAGCAAAAACAGAAGGGTTATTAGAAGCCATCTGGTCCAGTTTTTACTTTTTGAAGCTATAACCCTTGTTCAAACAAAATCTTGAGCAGAAATTCAGTATGTAAAACCAATATAAATTGTCTGCCTAGGCATAGGGATACTGTGGGCGAGTGGGGGGGGGGGGCGCACTCCTCCACCCTTCTCTCCAGGAGCTTCTGTGATGGGTGGGAAGCTACAGATCTAGAGTATTCTCAAGAACATACCCAGGAAAGCTGGGATTGTTTTTCCTGTTTCAGCCTGTCTATACTGAGCGAATGAATATTAGCTAGCTAAACATGAAGCAAGTCCTCTATGATGATCTCCGTAATTCTTAGGGAGAAGCTGGGCAAATACCCTGTCAGCCTACAGTAAGCCCTTTCTTTGTTTTTACTCTCTGGGAGAGACAAAAAAAATCTCTACTACAGCTGCTGAACCTGGACTCAAACTAAAATTCATGGGTAATTGCCAAAAGCTCCCCACATCTTCAGCTCCAATCTTGCCTTATTCAAACACAGCTCAGAAAGGCTTTCTCATACAGAGCGCGCCAAAGTAAACGAAGCCAGTCATATACCCTGAGATTCCTAGTTCTCGACTATGTCAATGCCCATTTCCTTCTCCCCAAAAGATGAGTGTCTATAAACAAGGAAGTGCACAGCAGGATTTCACTATCCTAGTGCCTTGGGCCCCTCCTGTGTGCTGTTCTGGCCAGGGGTCAGGGGCCCCGCCCGGCCGCCTTCCCCACCATAGTGGCCCTGCCCAGGGCCTCTGCTCCGCCCTCCTCACGCCCTGACCCTTCTCAGCTGAGGGCGCAGGCGGGTGAACTTGCTGCCGTAGCTCCATTTGCTCTCGAAACTGCTGCTGCAGCTGTTTCTGCCGGAGTTTCCGCTGGTAGGTAGAGCAGCTCTGCACCGCGGAGGCTAGACTTCTGCGGCAGAACAGCAACAAGGTGGGCGTGAGCTTCCAGTTAACAGGAAAACGACATGCGGTTTTTGAGGGCGCATGCACACCAAGCCGCTGGCCGCACAGGTAGAAACGGAGGTACGCAGAGCATGTGGGAAGAAGCAGAGAGGGAGGCAACGGGGCCCCATACCGGGAGCCGTTGTCCTTGTCCCCCTGCATCACCATGTGGGGGTCATCCGAGTGGCTTGGTCTGCAAGGGGAGGTCACCTCTGGTGCTTTTGGGGGTCCCAAAGTCACATTCTGTTGGCAGCTGCTGTATCTCGCTCGTTCCACAGATGGTTCAAAATCTTGTCGCTTTGCTTTAGTTAAATCCACTTCCAGCGGCAACTAGTAAGGGATGAAAGGGGAAAATAACTCCCTCCAGTTCTTTCCCCTCCCTTTCCTTCCCCTGCTTTAAAGATCTAGATTCCACAATCCTCTACCCATCAACCCCTCTAAGGTCCTGAGATGCTTACACAAAGGATCTACAACATCAAGAAATATTTTAATTTTATGAGTAGAACAACCTCACTTTCTGCTTTGTGCCATTCTGTATTGTTTTGCTAAAAAGGAATCTCAGTTATGACTCAGAGCAAATGGTCTTAAACTGTAATTTGGATCTTCACTCGTTTTTTATGGAAATGGTTATAGTCTTCGCAGCACCTTCTCAGCCCTCTCTGCCAGCACTTCCCCTGCAAGGACAACACGCATGGCAGCCTCGGGTTTGCTGAGGCACGACTGCATCCTTCCAACGACAGAAAGGGGAAGCGCTGAGAGAGGCTGCTGACCAAGGCTGCAAGGGGGTCTCCCAGTAGAGGCCGTTCCTGCATCTCTCCAAGTGTGAGAAGTAGTGACTGTGTCCTTCGTGGCACAGGGCAACACATTTTATTTCTAGGCTGTGAACACTACAGAAACCCAGAGCTTTCTCACTTGGGAGAACTTCTCCCTCAAGTCACATTGACAGAATAATTGAACTGAGGGATTGAGATTACTCTATTTTGATAGATACCTGAAAATGAAAAATATACTGTGATATTTCTTATCTACCCTGGAAAGTAAATGAGTAGGTTAAAAAGAAATGAGCTTACACTTCAACACTGATAAACCTTGAGGACGTTACACTCAAGTAAATCCATCACACAAAGACAAACCTGTATGATTCCACTTACAGGAGGTACTTAGTCAAAGCATGGAGACAGAAAGCAGAATGGTGGTCACCAGGGGCTGGGGTGGGGAGTGGGGAGTTAGTGTTTAATGGTAAGCAGCTTCAGTTTTATAACATGAAAAGAAAGGAATGGTGGTGATGGTTACACACCGCTCTGAATGTATTTCATACCACTGGACTGTACACTTAAAGTTAAGATGGTAAATTTTGTTATGTATACCTTACCACCAAAACAAAATCGGAAAAAAAGTGAGCTTTGAAAAAAAACAAACAACGCTACATGCTGTTGAGGATATGGAACATAACAACTCTTCACATATTGCTCTGTAAGCATGGGAATTAGCACAGCCACACTGGAAAATGAAGCATCTACTAAAACTAAGCATATGCCTATCCTCTGGGCTGACGTCATTATTCCCAAGATAAATGAGTGTGCATATGCCCCAAAAGACACATACAAGAATGCTAATAGTGGCCCAATTCAAAACAACCAAACCTACAAAACACTCCAATGTCTATTAAAGTCAGAATGGAAAAATAAGTTGTGACATATTCATGTGATAGAAAAGTACACAGCAATGACAGTGCCACATGCAAACAATGAATCTCACAAACAGGGTGGGAGGCCACACGCAAACAATTCACACTGATAACAAACTACAAAACAGTCGAAACTAATCTACGTTGTTAAGTACGGTTTTCCTTAGTAGTGATGAGAAGGGGAAGGAACGCAACTGAGATTCTGAGGTTATTGCAATTGTTTTGTCTTGATTCAGTTGCTGGTTTAAGTTGATGTGTCTGGTTTTAAAATTCATCAAGTTGATGGTATTATGCTAAGTAAAACAAATCAGACTGAGAAAGGTAAATACCATATGATTTCACTTGTACGTGATATCTAAAACAGAACAAATGACAGAGAAATAGACTCATAAACTGGTGGTTGCTATAGGGGAGGCATGGGGTGATGGGCAAAATAGGTGAAGGATAAAGAGGTACAAACTTCCAATTATAAAATAAATTAGTCACAGAGATGAAAGTACAGCACAGGCATACAGTCAGTAACATTGTAATATCTTTATATGGTGATGATGGTAACTAAGCTTCTTCTAGAGAGCATTTTATAATGTATGTAATTACCAAATCACTATGTGGTACACCTGAAACCAAAATACTGCGCATCAACTATATTTCAATTTTTTAAAACATCATCAAGCCAAACATTTATGATATGTGTACTTTTCTACACATTTATATGTACTTTAATACCTCAGTGATTTTTATTTATTTTATTACAGTATTATTGATATACACTCTTATGAAAGTATCACATGAAAAAACAACTGGATTACTACATTCACCCGTTACCATGTCCCCCCCAGACCCCACTGCAGACACTGCCTATCAGTGTGGTTGTTGGCAGCCGTGCTCAGAAAATGGCGCCCAATGCAGGGCAGCCGGAAAGCCCCGAACTTCCTAGTGACAAAACATCCCACATCACTAAACCACATGCTAATTGCGCCTTGGCATAAGGACCAATGAGACCCACCAAATTGTTATGCTAATGAAGCGTATGGAGCCGCACCAACCAGGTCAGAGCATGAGAACTATATAAGCAAGCCTCTCCTTCCCCTCTGGGTCCTGCCCAACTCATTTGTTTCACAAAGAGCTGAAGAATAAAGCTTTCTGCAGAAGAATCCTGCTGTTGTTGCGTGCTGTTCTTGCCGGCGAGGACGGGGCGCGCGACATGTGGTAAGCTGCCAGAGTCACTATTTGCCTTCTCTGTGCTACACTGACCTCCCTCTGATCCCCCCCCCACCATGTGTGCCAATCATAATACTCCTCAATATTCTCCCTCCCTCCCCACTCGCCATTCCACACCCCTCCCCTATGGTAACGACTAGTCCCTTCTTGGAGTCTGTTGCTGTTTTGTTCCTTCAGTCTTGCTTTGTTGTTACACTCCACAAATGAGGGAAATCATTTGGCACTTGTCTTTCTCCTCCTGGCTTATTTCACTGAGCATAATACCCTCTGGCTTCATCCATGTTGTTGCAAATGGTAGGATTTGTTTTGTTCTTATGGCTGAATAATATTCCATTGTATGTATGTACCACATCTTCTTTATCCATTCATGTACCAATGGACACTTAGGTTGCTTCCATTTCTTGGCTATTGTAAATAGTGCTGCGATAAACATAGGGGTGCATAAGTCTTTTTGAATCTGAGAAATTACATTCTCCAATTTCCTAGGAGTGGAATTCCCAGGTCAAATGGTATTTCTATTTTTAGCTTTTTGAGGAACCTCCATATTGCTTTCCACAATGGTTAACTAGCTTACATTCCCACCAGCAGTGCAGGAGGGTTCCCTTTCTCCGCACCCTCACCAACATTTGTTGTTCTTAAACTTTTCAATGCCAGCCATCCTTACTGGTGCAAGGTGATATCTCATCGTGGTTTAATTTGCATTTCTCTGATGATTAGTGATGTGGAGCATCTTTTCATATGCCTGTTGGCCATCTGAATTTCTTTTTTGGAGAACTGTCTGTTCATATCCTCCACCCATTTTTTAATCGGGTTATTTGCTTTCTGGGTGTTGAGGTGTGTGTTCTTTATATATTTTGGATGTTAACCCCTTGTTGGATATGTTGCTTACAAATATATTCTCCTATACCGTTGGACGCCCTTTTGTTCTGCTGATGGTGGCCTTTGCTGTACAGAAGGTTTTAAGTTTCATGTAGATCCATGTGTTCATTTTTCCTTTGTTTCCCTTGCTCAAGGAGATAAGTTCAGAAAAAAGTTGCTCATATTTATATTCAGGAGATTTTTCCTATGTTGTCTTTTAAGAGTTTTATGGTTTCATGACTTAGATTCAGGTCTTTGATCCATTTCAAGTTTACTTTTGTGTATGGGGTTAGACAATAATCCAGTTTCATTCTCTTGCATGTAGCTGTCCAGTTTTGCCAACACCAGCTGTTGAAGATGCTGTCATTTCCCCACTGATTTCCATGCCTCCTTTACTGTATATTAATTGACCATATATATTTGTGTATATATCTGGGCTCTCTAGTCTGTTCCACTGGTCTATGGGTCTATTCTTGTGCCAGTACCAAATTGGCTTGATTATTGTGGATTTGTAGGAAAGCTTGAAGTTGTGGAGCGTAATCCCCTCCATCTTTGATCTTCCTTCTCAAGATTGCTTTGGCTTTTCAAGGTCATTTGTGGTTCCATATGAATTTTAAAATTATTTTCTCTAGTTTGTTGAAGAATGCTGTTGGTATTTTGATAGGGATTGTATTGAATATGTAGATTGCTTTAGGCAGGATGGCCATTTTGATAATATTAATTATTCAGATCCATGAGCACGGGATGTGTTGTACTTTTAATTTCTCTCATGTCTTGTACTTTTCAATGTATAGGTTTTTCACTTCCTGGTTAGGTTTATTCCTAGGTATTTTATTCTTTTTGATGCAATTGTGAATGGAATTGTTTTCCTGACTTCTCTTTCTGTTAGTTCATCATTAGGATGTAGGAGTGCAACAGATTTCTGTGTATTAATTTTGAATCTTGCAACTTTGCTGAATTCAGGTATTAGATCAAGTAGTTTTGGAGTGGATTCTTTAGGGTTTGTTATGTACAATACCATGTCATCTGCCAAACAGTGACAGTTTGACTTCTTCTTTACCAACCTGGATGCCTTGTATTTCTTTGTTTTGCCTGATTGCCGTGGCTAGGACCTCCAGAACTATGTTGAATAAAAGTGGGGAGAGTGGGCATCCTTGTCTTGTTCCTGATCTTAGAGGAAAAGCTTTCAGCTTCTCGCTGTTGAGTATTATGTTGGCTGTGGGTTTGTAATACATGGCCTTTATTATCTTGAGGTACTTGCCCTCTATGCCCATTTTGTTGAGTTTTTATCATGAATGGATGTTGAATTTTGTTGATTGCTTTTTCAGCATCTATGGAGATGATCATGTGGTTTTTGCCACGCTTTTTGTTGATGTGGTGGATGATATTAATGGATTTTCTAATATTGTACCATCCTTGCATCCCTGGAATAAATACTACTTGATCTTGATGGATGATCTTTTTGATGTATTTTTTAATTCAGTTTGCTAGTATTTTGTTGAGTATTTTTGCATCTATGTTCATCTGGGATATTGATCTGGAATTTTCTTTATTTGTGGTGTCT